GAGGGGGAAGAAGAAAAGTACGAGCGGGTGGGGGGGGACTAGAGGAGAGGAGAGAGAGAGAGTTAGATGATGAGAAAGACGGAGAGGATGAGAGAGAGGATGAGAGAAAGAGAAAGAGAGAACGGAAAGAAGAGATGGAGGAGGAGGGGGGGTTGGTGCTCGTGGGGGGAGGGGGGAGGGGGGGGGAGGAAGGTGTTGTGTGTATGGTGGGCCCAGTGAGCCAGTGGGCCAGTCGACCAGAGTGGGCCAGTGGGAAGGACTAATCAGGAACAGGCGCAACCTCAGGCAATCCGGGTGGCCGGGTCCATCCATCTGCCATTCTCGATGCCTTGATGTGCCTTGTTTCCGTTCTCCACTGTATTTGCTTGCGCTCCTTCTCTGCATGCACACCGCAACATTCAAGCCCACCCACACCCACACTCCCCCGCAGTCTGCTGGACAGGCTCAACCCTGCTCCCCCCCGTTCTGCCGTCTTGCTAACCCCCTCCCTCATGGGAGTGTGGTGGCCTGGTGGGATGCCAAGACTTTCCTGTAACCCTGGCCTCGTTACCCTGCCGTTCCCCCCTCCCCTGGATATATCCTGATATACCTGATCTCAGTTTGCTTGGCGGTTCGGACCTGGGGTCCTTTGAGCGCTCCCCCCACATGCCTCGCCCCCTGCGCACCCGCACTGTTTCTCACACTCCACTGCTCGCGTCTCTTCGTCTCCATCTCTATACTTCATGTTTGGCGAGCATGACTGAACGACGTACGTACGACGTTCATGATCATGACCGAATTCTCCCCAATCATCACAGTGACGTGAGCCTCCCCCCCCTCTCTCCTGTAGTCGCGGAAAAGTCTTGGCAACCCACTACAACTTGAGTTTGGCGCAGCCCAAACACACACACTATTGTTTGTGTATCTCTACAGTACACGCTCATCATCCTTTCAGCAGACAATTTGGATAATTCAGTTGAGCCCAGTTGTGCCAGCCATGCCAGCGAATAAAGCGCACTCGTCCTGACGCCTCGTACGCGTTCACAGACGCGACCTGTGCATGCATGCGATGCGATGGGCGACGCGGACGCGTTCGAGGCGCAAGGCGAAGACGCGGTAGGCGCCGCGCTCAATTGGATCAAAGGAAAAGGAGGCGCCCGACCATGGCCCCCTGCCCCTTGTGCCCTTGGCACGGTCCGCGGTCCGTCTAGATTCCGGCTCTCCCTTTGACTCTGCCGGGTCACTCTTCCATGCAGCTCATCGATGACGACGACGATGACGACGACGACGACGACTACTCCTCCAAAACCAAGCATACATGCATCTTGTCGCTTACACCAACACATGATATGAATTACTCACTGGTGACATCTGCAGCTTCTTCACAGCCTGTACATCCCTCACCACCAACACCAAGTGGCTATTACTCTACTCAACTCCCGCCACACTCACTACCAACATCGTCGCATGCCGCAATCCCATCCCTTCAGCTTCCAGCCGGCCCCGCACTCCCTCTACAAAATGTAACGGTAATGCACGCTACGATCACCCCCCCCCCCCCCCCCCCTACCCCCGCATGCCGCAATCCCATCCCTTCAGCTTCCAGCCGGCCCCGCACTCCCTCTACAAAATGTAACGGTAATGCACGCTACGATCACCGGGCACGCCGTCGTCTCCCGGCGCCTTGTCGCCCTCGTACCCGCCCGCCCGCGCCCGCTTCTTGTTCTCGTATCCCAAATACGCCATATTCAACCCGGCCCACAGCACGATGCTCGCCGAGAGCGCGAGCAACACATCTGTGCCCTTGTTGAACGGCGGCTTCGGGAAGAGCCACCTGGCGTCAGACTTCGGACCTGTGGACCTGGGCCGGTCGCCAACACCAGCATGTGCAGTACTCACGTCGACAGAATGCCGCCCGAGTTGGTCGAGATAAAGCCCATCGTGATGCCCGTCACGCGGCGGTAAAACGGCGCGAGGTTGTTGGCTGCCGTCAGCACCAGATGTCACACTTGGACGTCTTGGCGGGCACGTGTGCGGCGCGTCGTCGCTCATCGCGTCGTCGCGTCGCGCCGCGTCCGGAATGCCGAGATGCCAAGCCCCTCCCAAGCCCCTCCCAAGTTTTCGCGTCGCCCTCCAGTTCACATAGGAGCACCACAGTCACCCCGCACCCCAGAGGCGAGGCTTGGCCGACGCATCGCCGAGTGCTCGGCGCGCGCGGGGCGGTGCAGCGCCTCAGCCCATCAGGTGAGGCGAGGCATGCGGCATGCACATAGGCATTGTGAGGCATGGGTGCTGGGCACTCGGGTGACACGCCACACCGGGAACCGGGCTGCGCCACGCTCCCGGTGCTCCTGGCTGCCTGTGCGTGTGCGTCTGCGTCGGCCTCGATCGCTCTCTCCGGCGTCGCCCTCCTTCGTACTCACGCATCCAAGTCGACTGCAACGGCGCGACAGTATACGCGCCCATGACCTGCAAAAACAGCGCGCCGTAGCGCACATGCTTGTCCTCGCTGCCGCGGTACATCGCGTACCCAACCACACTAACGAGCGCTGCGAGGATGACGAACGGGCCGCGCATCTTGAGCCTGTCCGACGCCCAGCAGCACATGAGTGCGAACGCGGCCGACGCCACGAACGGCGGCACCGACATGAGCTGCACCTTGGTGCCCTTGTATCCGAGCGAGCCGACGATGGTGGGCGAGAAAAACGCCATGGCGTACAGCATCGCGCCGGACGCGAAGAACTGCAGGAACATGAGCCAGACTTGGGGCGCTTTGAGCGCGCTCACGCACGCGGCGAGCGTGAGCTTCTCGCGCTGCTCGGCGAGCGGGGCGTCGCGCTCTAGCGCCGCCACGAGCGCCGCCCGCTCCTCCGGCGTCAGCCACCACGCCGTGCCCGGCGTGCGGGGGAGGACGAAGAATGTGGCAAAGCCACAGACCACGGTGAAGAGGCCCTCGCTAGGGTCAGTGGGGGGCGGGGGAGAAGCGCCTAATGGGCTAAGCAGTGGAATGGAAAGAGCTTCCGGGGTGGGGGTGCGAAACCACCTCATGTCTCCAAGGATGCATGCATCCACTGCGCCCTCACACACTCACATGATGAAGATCCACGCCCAGCCCTTCTTGCCGCCCAGGCCGTCCATGTTGATCAGAGCCGCGGCAAGGAGGCCCGAGAACGCGCCAGCCAGCGATGTCGCCGAGAAGAAGAAGGCGACGCGCTTGCCCATATCGGCCCGGCGGTAGAAGTTGGACAGGTATGTCATGGACGACTGGGGTGAGCCTCGCTCTCTGCCGGATCAGTCGCCTCTGCGCCTGCATCCGCTCCATCGCTCCATCGCGACGAGCCAAGTCACCGTTGCGGCCCTCAACCCTCAACCGCCCTCTCCCTCTGCACACCAGCGACCCTCCTGCCGCTCCCCGCGGTCCTCCGCTCCCCACCTTCACTCACGGGCAAAATCGCACCCTCCGTCGCGCCAAGGAAGAAGCGCGCGGCGAGCAATCCCTCGTAATTGTGAATGAAGCCCTGGAAGGTCGTGACCAGGCCCCAAGCGACGACGAGCGTAGGGATGAGGATGTTCGGGCCGACCTTCTTGATCGCGAGGGTGAGCGGCAGCTCGGCGGCAATGTACGGCACGTAAGTGACGGTCAGTGCGATGGAGTACTGCTTGGCGTTGATGCCGAGGTCCTCCATCAGCCCCGCGGCCTTTGCGTTGCCGATGTTCGAGCGCTGGTGTGAGTGCCTACATGGGGATGGCGGAGCGTGACGCCTCAGCGACGTACGTCCAAGAAGTTGAGGAACTGGCGTCAGCACAGCGCGCGCGCGGACGCACGTAGACGAGCGTGATGACGGGCAAGAAGATGACGTCGAGCTTGAGCAACGCGCGCTTGAACGCCGCCTCGTCGACCACCACGGGCGTCTTCGCCTCGCCGAGCTCGCCGCCTTTGTGATCCTTCTCGTGGTCGCTTGAGCTCATGTTATCGTGTAGGAGAGTGCGAATGCGACGAGGCAGCGAGATCTGTCTTTATCCATCCCAGTCGGATCTCTTCGCCTCCTCGGGAATAGCGAGTCGGCCAGCATCCGCGCTGTGAAAAGTTCTGTACAATCGACTTCAGCCGCTTCCCCTCTTGTCCTCGGGAATTGCGAGTCAGCTGGCAACCGGGCCCACTTTTCTCATCAGTAAAAGACCTGCGCTCAAGGTGGACGTCGGGCAGCGCCTTCCCTGAGCATCTTGCCCGCGCTGCCAACTGACTGGCGGGTCGGCAGGCGGACAATGCCGAGTCGTTAGTGTTCAAAGTTGTCAAACTGCCGCTTTAGACGGAGGCCGCGGAGGCCGAGCGGAGGCATGAGTCGGGACTGGGGGCAGGTGGACCATCTGGGGCCACGTGCAGGGTCCAGGGGGTGGCGCCGGTACACCGGTACGTAAGTGTTGGGCGACCTACCCAATTGCAGCGGCGCGTTCTCTTGCGCGATGCCCCGACATACGACAAGCGCTTACGCCCAGGAGAAACCGGAAACGCGCATCGGCTACTGCCGGGTGCTGTGAGTCGGCCGTGTTCATCTTGAGAGAGGTCAAAAAGCGACTAGGCTTTCCTCCGCGATTGCGCACGTTTCCATGTGTTCTCACGAGGCCCCACGTCACTTCCGGCTTACGTAGAACGTCTGCCGTCCATGCCGCTTGCCTCTCCTACCGTTGTAGGATACTCATGGCAACACCCGTTTCAGACTACAGAGAGTCCGTCGCGGGCACGCCGAGATACCCCACAGCCTCGACGGCTTTTTCCAACCTCAAGCACCTCGAAAGGCGCCGACGCTGGTTCGAACGCGCACCCATGGCAAGCCACGGGGAACACACCGATTAGAGCATTTCTTCAATAACCTTTGTGCTACGCGTTCGATTGCGTCAACCTATGCAATCAATGGGTTTTGACACGCTTCCCCAGGTAATGTGAAACTGCCCCACTTCACTGGGTTATCTCATTTGAACCCCGCGTCTTTGAGAGATATGTGACTGGCACTCACACCGTTTCCGCTCATGCATCCTCATCGTTCTGCATACCATACCAATGTGCCCGCTCGTCCACAGACGCGACGAGCAGCAGCACGTCCACTTCCCTTTCGCCCAATTGTTATGCAACAGCCTCCCCTCCCCTACTCTCTGACATTCTGCCCTCCAAGGTATGTCACCAGCTGCGAGTGTTTGCGCACGAAGGGGTCGTTGAGGATCGAGCTCTCCGGATGGATGTAGTGGCTCATATAAAGGTGTCCGGAATGGTTCAAGCGCAGGAAAACACGCCCTCCAAAGTCACCAATGGCGTTGGGGAGCATGCCGCCACGCCAGCCGTCAAATACGGGCTGGGCGCGCACCAGCTTGTCCTTGACCGAGAGCTGGGAGGGGTCATACGCGATGATTGGGGCTTGTGGGCCCTCCGCTTCAGACTCCTCGCCGCCGTCGCTCCACGGCGCTCGCCCATGCGCGGCAACCGGCGTGGCGGGCGTGCATGGCTGCCAGAGCGGGTCGCGTGAATCGTCGCCTTCATTCAACTCGTTGCCGGGAAATGGTGCGTAACCGAGGACACCGAATTGGGCGACAAAGTCGTTCTCGTTCGCAAAGTGCTCGACGTGGGCGAAAGTCTGGCCGCGTCCGTCCGCTGCCGCCGCAGGGCGCGAGAAGTGGTTTGCGGCAGACGCGAAGGTGTAGACCTCGACGCGGGCGAGCAGCTCAGCGGGCACGTCAGTGAGAAGCATGTCAACCCAGGCCGAAGTGATGATGCCGCCCTGCGAGTGGCCAATGATGACGATGCGCTTGCGCCGAGGGTCGAGGACTGCCTTGCGAACCGTTTTGTATCCTTGACGAATGTCGCTCGTCGTGAGCAGGAGATCGCGCTGCATCATGCATTCGAGAAGGTCAAACCACAACCCAAAGGAGCGGTTGAGCACAGCAACGATGGGGCGCTTGAAAAGATCATGCAGGCGGACTGCTACATCCTCTGCGCCACTGTTGGTCGTCATGACGCCATTGACACTTGCGTCAGCTGATAAGTACGAAGATAAGATTCACGGGCTCGGAGCGTTGTTCGCCTCCGCCCTCGCCTCCTGGTCGGAGCCTGCTCGCCTCCGCCTCAGACTCACAAAAACCATGCCTCCGTGTCAGTGCCCACGGCCTGATCCGAGGTTACGAGTCGCGTTGTTGCACCCTGCGCCTTCTCTGCGATCCAAATAAAGAGGAGGAGGATACCGAGGGCGAGAATCATTGGAGGAATGCCCACAACAGCGCTGGTCAGGAAGCCGATGGTGATTATGAGTGAGATAGGGATCATAACAATCTGCGCGAACACCGAGAGAAACCCCGACTTGGCGGGCGAGCTGTTGTCATAGCCCGTCGGCAGCACGAGCCAGGGGAGCATGAAGAGATGCCCACCTACCCAGCGAAGGTCCCGGCCCAGCAACCGCCATGGTGAGCCCCGGTAGCACAAATGGTGACCGGCGCCGCCGGTGTCCGTCACGTCCCAGCCGCGCACAGGGAAGGTGCCAGGTGCGGGATCGCTGTGCATCAATACAGCGTCCGACTCGAGGACGGCTGTCGCCTCAGTGACGATGCGCACTCCCCTGCCGTTGAGGGTGGGGCTGCCGGGCTGGGGAGCGTTGGCGGCGTTGGTCGGTGTGCGGGCCCCGGAGCCGTTGCCGCGCGCACCGTAGCTGAGATTATTGGCGTTGGCGTTGAGGAGCGAGTTGTCCTCCATGTCCATGCTTGGTGGCGGGGATGGGGAGGAAGAGGCTGAGTGAGGCTAGCCGTTGTGTCTTTATGGTACCAGCTCCGATGATCTCGGTGGATGTTGCGTAAGTAGGCACGGGGAACGGTGAGTCGCGATTGCTGGACATGACATGGCTGGCAATGCTCTCACGGTCCCTGCAAGGCGAAGGGGTCCCGCGCGGCGATTCAAGCCCCTGCACATGCCGCGGGCGGGCTGTGGGAGGGCGACGGCCGAGTGTTGGATCGTGCGGACCGAGTGTCAACGGTGCGAGGATGGTAGCGTGGGAGCTGCCGTAAACAAAACAAGATTCAGCCATCAGGCACGCGAGCTGCCGCCCCGGTGCGCGTCGAGCGCCCCTCCGAAATGAAGCTGTGAAGCTCGGCGGGCTATTGGCACCGCATGCACGGGGCGATGCGAACTTGCTGTAGTCGTGTGCGTTTCACTCATCTCTGTCCGAGGCTCAATGAAGCTCAGAGAACAGGTTGTCGCACTCTCGGTGCTGGCAAGGATTAACTCCGCGTCACGTTGACGGTAGTCATTGCTCGTGACTTGACAGCCAGATGCTGGCAATCCAGTGTCAGAGGTGGCTGACTTGCGCTCCTCCCATCCCTCCAATCTTGTAGACTGGGGACGTCGAGAGGAACTGAACTTGGACCACCATCATGAGCAGACAACCAAGAGCCCACTAACAACCCTCGCATATCTACAATGTCAGCGAGCGGCTTACAAACGACTCGTGCAGCCGCTATGTGCTAGCGCATTGGCATCAAAACGCTAATACGACGAGGCTCACAGCACCCGAAGCCCGGTCGGCGACAGGCGGGCATCACCAGTTTGGTGGCAAGGCTGATGCAGGATCGCGTGACGATCGCTGTCGCGCTGGTCAGTAACTTGACCCATCTAATCGCGCCAAGAACAAGTGGAGCAGTCTGGAGCTCAGACCTGTGGTTGAGCTGCGTCCACAAATCCACAGCAGCCGATGAGAGGTCATCGTCGATGGGCGAGGGTAACGACGGTTGAGGAGGCAAAGGAACGAGTAAGTGAGTGAGTCGAGCCAGAGTTGTCAATGAGCACGGTTGCGCCCTTCTCTGCGATCAACGCCTTCGCCCGCTCTCAAGTCACGCTCGTCGCGTCAACTCTGCCTTTCTCTTCTTCTCCACTCCATCCTTTGCTCTCTTCTCGTCGTCTTCGCCTCGCTGGCCACCGCCACTGTCTTGGCAGGCTCCCAGCCTTATCTTTGGACACTCACGCTCCCTTACCCACTGTCTATCCGGCAAAAAACAAAGCCCATCCGGCACCCCACACGCTTCAATATGCCGCTCGCCACCCGTGCTCCCGCTCCTCCCCCTCTGGCCTTCGTCCTCCCGAGCCGCTCTGACTCTAAGTCGGACTGGGACGGCGGTCTCCCACCTCTCCCACCTATCCCCTCTTTCCCCCGTATCTCTCTCAACTTTGACCGCCCAATGACTCCTTTAGCCACGTTTACTCCCATCACCTCCTCAACTATGACTTCAAGCTACGACGTTGCGCCATCCATCCCCTCCAATTCCCAGCACACCCATGTCGCCGCTGTCCAGCGACTTCTACTTCTCACACAGCGCGCAACTCTCGCCACGCTCGCCCTTCTTCGCCACGTTCCCTTCGGGTCCAGGCACGCCCCGCTCGCCTACATGCCCGACATACCCACCCACGCCTCTCACTCCAGCTTCAGTCGACCGTACGCCAGGTCAGCTCGTGACATCCCTCCTAAACTCGGATGTGTGGGGCAAGGCGGCTCGCTCGGACAGAAGCAGCCAGCGCGTACGCAGCGATTCGTCTTCGTCGTTGTTCAAGAACGAGTTTTTGTCAAGCCTGCCGTTCATGCCCCCCAAAAACCCGCTGCCCGTCCGCGGACGGGTCATTTCCGGTCCAAAGCCACTACGCCCTCGGCCAGCCGCGCAGGTCTCGGAAATTCAAGAGATGCTGCCCATGTATGAGTTCGTCAGGGTCTCGAGCTTACTTCAGGCGGCCATCAGATCTGAGTCGTCGGTCGATGACCTTGACTGGCTTGAAAGGTTTCACAAGGTTAGTATGTGCCGCCAAGCGATCACACTGGAGTCTCATTACAGGTCAAAACCTCCCCAATTAATCGACGAGGAAGAAGAGGAGGAAGTTGGAACGGCCGATGGATGCTGGACGGGCTTCTTCCAATGCTTCCAGTGCCAGTGAGGCCGAGAATCCGTCTACACGTAGGAGACAAAGGTCACGCGGAGAGTACAGTATTACCATTTCATTGACATATATCTGTGACAGGAGAGTGTCGAGTCTGGTGGTATTGTCGTGTGAGGTACAGGGACAATCTATCTCTAAATTCATGCTTTGTGAATCCAGCTTCGGCTACAAGCCCAGGCGGTGACAGCGCCACGCATAAAAGGCATGTGTGAATTGTGTGAATTGCGTGAATTATGAGAGGAATAGGGGGTACAGCTGTTAAGAGCGGATGGTTGGGACGGCGCATCACAGTCTTCCCTGCCAATACTCGATGCTGGTCTCAGTCGCAGTTCCTTGCCAGCCCTCGCGAGTCTGCACTCACATTACATCCTCCTCGAGCATTTCGCACAGAATATCGAGGATGCGCTGGACGCTGCTCCACTCGGTACTTGATGCAAGCGCTACGCGGGTGAACGTGCTGCGCTTGCCCGAGCCGGCGTGGTCGAGTGACGCCTCGGCTTTCTGGATCGAAACCATGTCGTCTAGTGTTAGCGAAACGCAGAGGGGGAGACCATACGTCCACATCCGGCCATATACGCGTGGACCTCGCCCTCGAGGCGGGACCATTCCTTGGGCGTGAGTGTGCCCATAAACTCGAAGACGGCGCGCTGGTGTGAGCGGCGCGGTTGGGCGGGCGGGCGAGGCGGGCTAACCCGGGGCGGGACGTACCGACATATTGGTGGGTAGGGAGGAGAGCGAGGTGCAATGGGAAGAGGAGAGATGTGGTGCGAGGCGAGGGATTCTGGGACTTGAGACGAGTGTGATGTGTTCTGAAAGTCTGAGACCAGTGATGGTGGTGATGGAGGGTGGAGACTAAAGCTCGAGAACTTATGTGCAAGTGTAGAGCGAGGGCACCGGTTGATTCGGCGGATTGCGCGAGCAGCGCGTCATGCGGATGCGACCGGGAGCTCGCAGCGCCGCAGCATGGGCGCGTGGGGGGCGGGTGGGGAGACAAGCACACAGCAGACGAGTTTGGCCGGTTCGCGTGTCAAGTGCACAGCACAGCGCGACGCCTCCCCTCCTCCTCATGAGGCGGAGGGCGCAGGCTGCGTGGTGCCGCGGGAGCCGAGGCCCGCCGATCCGGCAGATAGGAGATTCCCGGGCCGGCGGCACTCACCTCGCCCCACCTGTGTATTGGAGCCCAGCTTACCGTCAGTGGCTGGAACAGTGTGGGGGTGGAGGCGAGTAACCGGGATGAATGCGGCGGCACGCTGGTGTGTGTTGTGGGATGTTGTTGTTCGGCTGGCTATTGTGCAACGTCAGTGGCGCGGAATGCGGAATTCACTCGCGGTTCAGTGCGGAAGTGGCATGCGGCGTGCGAGCGGAAAGCGGATGAAGCAAGGGCCGACTGTTCTGGTGTTCTGGTATTCTGGTGTTCTGGAAGATCCTTAGCGGATTCAAGATCTGCGTTCCGTCGAGAGAGTTGATGGCATCTATAACGACGCCGCTCCATGTTTAGACTCGTGGCGCTGTGGAGACATGGAGGAGCTGAGGAGAAGCCTAGCCCCGGCTGGCCAGGTCGAGGCCGCCAGACGAGTGGAGTAGTTTGCTTCACGTGCGGCTGTGCGCACTGTCGAACTGTAGTCATGTAGATCCCTCGCGTCGCGTCGCTCGTCACTTGCGTACTTGCATGGCTCCATTGTTGCGTCACGTGTGATACCATTTTCCCCCCATCTCCGCTCCGCTCGAACCGAATTTTGTCAAGTTTGTGATGAAAAGTACATATCACTGCAACTCTCCGCACCCATTATCACTGACGCCCCACCACCTCAACAATGTTCAAAGCCATCACTTTCATTGCCTTCACTGCCCGATCAGTCTTTCAGGCCATTTCCAGCACATATATGACGAGCTGCATGCATCCTGTCTCCCTCACCTCCCCTATCATCTCACTCGCTCGTGAGAACACACTCACGCATATCATCCCCTGCGCGCTCGCGCTCACGGCCTCATCATGGCCCGCGGTCGCCTTCGCCGCGTCATCGGCATATGCGTTCGCGCTTCACGCTCCGCGACACCCACCACAACTCCTGTCGGTAGCCTCGCGCGCCGCTCGTCCCCCCATACCACTGCCGTCCAAGCTCCTCCCACCGGCTCCACTTGGTCACACTTCCAGCTCCCTTCTTCTTTGCGTGCAACTCCCCACATCCGCCTTCCACTCCCTGTGTTTACAGCCCCCACCAACGTCTCCAAATTCCCACTCGCTGCTTCACCCACGCCGACCAAATCTCACCTACGTTTGCGTCAACCTTCAGCTCCTCGGCTCCCGGCACCCACGACGCTCGCCTCTTCCGTCTGCTCTCCGAACATCACAAGCTCAACCGCTACCGGCGTCTTCACGCACACACGCTCCGCCTCCGTAGCACTGGCTGCTGTGGAGTCTGCCCCCGACCTCCCGCCCGCCTCGTCTCTAATTCGCACACCCACCACCTCCCCGCTCGGAGTCACATTCTTCCCACCCTTCACCCCGAAGCGTCCCATCCTCCGCCGCTTCGTGGCCGGTATTCTCAAAATCTCGGGCAAGGCGCCGCGTGAGAATGTGAGCAACAGCATGGGCACGTTATCCACGACCGTGGCCCCAGGCGGCTCGAAGAGCTGGTGGAGCCGCACCCAGAGCTGGCTGGAGGGCGTAAGCTCCCTCGAGGCCAGCCCGACGCAGACCCTCTCCGCGAGCGAGGCCACCGAGGACGACTGGCACTCCACATCGAGCGAGAACGGCAGCGAAGAGTGGTGGGGGCCTGGACCACCCGAGACGCCCTGTCCCGTCCGCCACGGCAGGCCTCTCCTGCACGCTCCCCACCAGAGGCACGCCCGCTCGCACTCGACGCCGGAGCTACAGAAGCTCATCCGGCGCCCGCCTCCGCGCACGCCGTTCCGCCGCTTCTCGCCGACCATCACCCCGCCCGTGTGCAACCTCGTGCGAGACATGTCCCTTCTCTCGCCCGTACATTTTCGCCACGGCTACGTCGTCGTCCCGGGGACCCCGCCATCGCCGTCGCCGGCGCCACCTCGTCGGCGCCGTCAGTACCCGCCTATACAAGCGCCGTCGCCGAGCATCATCAAGCGTTTCTGGAAGTGAGTCGTCAGTGTAGGTCAAAGCTTACATTAGCATTATCCGCGCATACCTCACCAAGCTTTGGAAGGCCGTCAGCTGGAAAAACGCCTTACCCCAAACCCCGCGCCGCCACCGCCGCAGCGCAAGCGAGCCTCTTTTGGGCCGCCCGCACACCCTATACGCGTAGGCGCAGAGTCGCAGCAGGCTGCACTTGACAGCCGGCAAGTGTGACTGGACGCTCCGCGGAAGTTTCGTACCATGACACTGTAATCAAGACCCAAGACACGACAGCGGGTGGAAGACGGAGTGATTCCATCGATGGGCTAACATGAGAACCCACCATATTCCTGTAGACACTCCGATCCGGAGCCATTTCTGGCGGAGCTACCTGCCTATACTGCTCCGCGATGCCATGCCCGTGTAGACCTCGTAGCGTGCGCAGGGTCGCTCCAGACCGAGAGTTGCAGCAATGACGCGCTGTGCCTGTAATCGCCATCTTCCCAGGTTTCTCTCGGGCACTATGACGTCGGTATGTCAAACAAGTCCCATTTGACCTGCGTCCCGCTCGCTAGACTTGCACCGATATATATGCCGCAGCTGACCGTCTCGCCCACCATACTCACCATGCGTCTCGCCCTCCGTCCCCTCTCGCGCCCCTTCCCCCTCCGCGCCGCACCGCTCGCGCGCGGCATCAAGATCCGCTCCCAAGACCCGAAGGACAAGCCGATCGACTCGCCCGGCGGCGAGGCGACAACTGCGCCCTTCAAGAATGGCTCGGCGGGAAGCGGGCCCAAAGCCAACGATGGACAGTACAGCGCCAGCACGATTGCGAATGAGGAGGGCGACTATACGAACCAGGAGCGCGCGACACCCGACGTCAACAAGGAGGCGCGGGAGGCGGACGAGGCAGCGCTTAAGAAGGAGGTGAGTGCGGCGGTCGACCGGAGTGGATGAGGGCGGAGCGAGAGGATGCCACGGCTGACTCGCAGAAGAAGTAACTGAAGGAAATCATGTACTGCTTGGACTTGTGCTGGACTCAAGCTAGCCAGCGGAAAGCTGCTGGCGACGAAGGACTGATTTCAGGAAAGGGGTCGTGATGGTGTGAGAGTGTCAGAAAGAAGTGGAGAATGGAGGACGTGGTGCAGCACTGCGTTCCCCCAGAACATGTTGTGCGTCGCTTCGAACCCACGAGGGACGCAGGGCAGCCCCGGAAACGTGGAAAGTGGAGGCTAGATGACTCACGCAACTGACAACACCTTCCGTGGGTGCGTGGGTGCGACACAAGAGACACTGAGATTAGGTGTTTGAACAAGTCGACTGCTTTCGAAGCATGGATGAGGGACTGAAGCCTAGAGGTGGCGGATGACCTTGGACGGATAGATTCAACCAGGCGTTAGCCACCTGCCAAGCTTTATTGTATGGCATAGCTCTCTCGCCTGGACCTCCTTGCTCTTTCTCGTAATTCCGAGAGCGGCACTGCGAACACCGATTTGGGACCACTCTGTGCATCTCGCTACACGGGTAATGGAACAGGTGCTGTTGGTGACTTTGGGTGGTGATTTCGATGTTTATATAGCCACCCCCTTAACCCGCGTGCATCGAGACTCGGTTGGATCGTATAGTGGTTAGTACCCAAGATTCTGAGTTGCTTCAACACACCTCGTTCTTGTAGCCTGGGTTCGATTCCCAGTCCGACCTTCACTTTTGTGCCCGCCGCGCACAGATGGGGGGACTGAAGCGATCACGACGGGGTACACCGATCTACGCAGATGACAAACGATCACGCGACCACGATGGGATGCATAGTGACGCCAGCTAGAATGGTCCTTGATATCCGATTCCTGAGATTCGCTGTCAAGCTCGGCAGCTCGTGGGCAGCTTCGCCTGCTCAGGCCGCCACAGGGCGAGCGGTGAATTGCTCCTCGGCTTGAGTAACCGGCTGCACAAAGTGGGGCGCAGACTTGGCGCGAAGCTGGCACGGGGGGCGCTGTTGTGCTGATGCGGAGCACCGGTGCGCGCTGGAGCAGCGATGTCGAAAAACTCAACGTGAGGCAAGAGGGATTGTACCATCCGTCATTGCCTAGTACATCCAACTGCGGGAGGCGTGGGACAGGCGGTCCCGGGACGCAATGACGTCGTAGTAGTCAGGACGGAACTCGCGGTGGGGCGGCGCGGGCTTGGGCGGAGCAGGAACAGGAGGCGCGAATAGCAGCGAGCTCAGCTTCCTGGGGCTACGGTACTTGCGCGCTGAAACGTCGCTTGTGTCAACGTCCTTGGTGTCGGCGGCAAAGCGGACAGTCTTCCTGGACTTTGGGAGCGGTGCGCGCGTGCGGAGTGCTGATGGTGGGGTCATGGTGATAGTGGTGGTAGGGGAGGTGGTGGGAGTAGAGTTGGGGACGATGCTGGAGTGTTTAGTGCAGGTCATGCAGGCTGTGAGGGTCAGAGGTCGTGTGCATGGTGCATCGAGGTAATTAAGAAGAGTGCAGGGTGAGGTTAGACGCGGTGACGGTCGGACGGTGACGATCGGGACCGACGCGATCGGTTGACTCAACGTTGACTCAGCATGTCGGTGGGGTAAGCATGGCGGGCAGGGACCGCTTGTCACCTCCGCTCCATGCTCCACATGATTTCTCAGCGTCACGCTACCTACCATTCGCCAGCGCACATGCACACCATGCACAGGTCTCAGATTCGGTCTGTCGCTCGATCGCTCCGGTGCACGGTGTGCTTTTGTCTTTAGGTATCCCAGGCTTCGGAGCGAAGATAACGAAAATTCAAGCCATACTCCACGGCGATGGGTGGCGAACATTCCGCTCTTCAGCTCGGTGTGCTCGACTGCGACCGAATAAATCGGTGATTTAAGCAACAGTCTGTCCGACTAAAATGCTCGAACACACTCGCAGAGCGAGGGGCGCTTTATGAGTTCTCCCGTCACACGTATGCACCACCAGTCTGAGCTGCCCACATGCGCGTGTAGACCGTCTCCGCTTTGCAATGGTGCGGAAGTTTAGATATCCGGGTGGGGGTCAATCACCTCGGCAACCACCCATTGTCCCAGCATTCCAGGGCCAAGTCTACGACCACAGCTGCCACTTCAGTGCAGAGAGGAAAGTGAGGAGGCTGTCGGATATAGCGTTCGTGGACGACGGTGAATTCATTGCCGGATGACCGATACGTGGGTTTGCTCTATAGTTAACCACATGACGCCGATATCAGCCAGCCGGGCACAGCCGAGGTATCCGCAGTCCCCCACTCACCACGCACCGGTCGGTGGGCAGAATATATAGACCGGGACGCACAGTCGTGGACGCCCTCGTACCTCTTCGCTCACCATGATGACTGAGAAGACCCCCAAGATGGCCCCCGAGCCCTGCTGCAACTGCGGCCACCTCCCGGACGGCAAGGACGATGTACCGAGCCGCCGCGCCTCCTTCCGCCCCGAGGTGAGCTCTTGCCTTGGTAGCACTGACGACAGGTGCGCCAGACAATCACGGGTGCGATTGACGGGCTCAAGAAGGAGCTCACCGACGTGTCGCTGTACATCCACGCCAACCCCGAGCTGGCGTACAAGGAGGAGAAGGCGCACGCCAAGCTGTGCGACTACCTCGCGAGCAAGGGGTTCAAGGTGCACCAGATTCCTGAGGTGCCCACCGCCTTCAAGGTGTCGTACACGCGTGGCAGCGGAGGACGCACCTTCGGCCTGAACTCGGAGTACGACGCGCTGCCCGAGATCGGGCATGCGTGCGGGCACAACCTCATCGCAATCTGCGGCGTCGGCGCCCTTCTGGCGATGCAGAAGGCAATGGATGCCCACGACATTGATGGCACCGTAGTGCTTCTCGGCACGCCCGCCGAGGAGGGAGCCGGTGGCAAAGTCGACCTCCTGAACGCGGGGGCGTACGAGGGCATCGGCGCCTGCATGATGCTCCACCCCGGACAGGGCGGCGAGGCGTCGGGAGGCGCAGTTATCCGCTCCCTCGCATATCAGCACATTGGCGTCGAGTACACGGGCAAGCCCGCGCACGCGGGACTCGCACCGTGGGAGGGCATCAACGCCCTCGACGCCGCGTGCACCGCCTACGTCGGCATCTCCGCGATGCGGCAGCAGCTCAAGCCTGAGGTGCGGGTGCAGGGCGTTATCTCGGACGGCGGAGGTAAGGCGCCTAATATCATCCCCGCCCGCTCGCAAATGGACTATCTCGTGCGTGCGCCGACAGCTGCCGATCTGGAGCTTGTCGCGGAGAAAGTTACGGGATGTTTTGAGGGCGCGGCGCGCCAGACAGGCTGCGGCGTCAACATCGACCGCGAGGTGCTCATGTTTGAGCTGCGTAACGACAAGGCACTCTCTGTGAGTGTATCCGGAGGCGGAGCTGACTCCAGCACGAGTATGCCCAGGTTATGGGTGAGATGTGGGACATCCCCGTGCGCATTCTCCTCGACCAGAGCATGGGCGCCTCGACCGACTTTGGCAACGTCACTTTCTCGATGCCCGCCTGTCACCCAATGTACATGATCCCTGCAAAGGGGGGCAATCACACGCACGAATTCACGGCCGCGACGAGGACAGAGCGCGCACACGAGGAGAGCTTCAAGGCTATGGGCGCGATGGCGGCGGTTGGCCTGCGCTACCTTGCTGACGAGACATTTGCCAAGGATGTAAGTGGGAAATAGGACGTGCCACTTGAGGTGGCAAAGGACAGAGATACTGACTCTTAGGTCCAGTCCACGTGGGAGACAAATATGAAGGAGGTCAAAGAGGAGGAGCAGCGCATCCTCGGGAAGAAGTAGGTTGCTTGACTGTAGTGCTGTAGCGTATATTGGGCTGGTTGTGAGAGCTGCCGCTGAATACTGTGGGAAGCTTTGAGCGCCGTATCACGGCTGGTTGTTACACTGTGAAAGTTTTTACCAATTTTCTGACTACTGCACTAACCAGTCAATTCACTCGCCAACAGCTTGACTCGCACCTGTCAAGTGTTCGCCCCCGAGCGAGGTCTTCTCCGTTTCTGTCGGCCTCAGCACTATAATCCGTGAGCCGCGCATCAGTCATCAGAAGTGGACAATAGGCCGGTGAGATGAAGTCGCTCCCAGGTGCACTGCCGGCGTCTGATGGCGGCGAGCCATCTGCACTTTGAGCTCACAATGAGTCTGTGATCTCTGGACGAGGCTATATTCGCATTGTACCCGGGACAGAAACATACGATGGCGCTATTTTCTCTGCTCCACGTCGGACATATAAAACAGGTCACCTTCGGCTCCTCCATCCACTGCCAAGCCTCTGCACTCCCGAGCCCGCCTGTTCACTTTCAACTCCAACTCCTCTCTTAGCCACTATCACTATCCGAAGGCACCGCTACCGACATGTCCGACTTCGTCCTCGTCATGGACCCCGAGCACCTCGAGCAGATCGACAAGGTGCGGAAAGAGTTTGACCTCCTCCAGTACACGTTTGACGACATCGTGGAGCGCTACAACTGCATGGCGCGTGCTGTCTGGGAGCGCACGCTCGCAGGCCAGACCACCTTCACCGAGTTCCACTGGTCCCTCAAACAGATCGCCGAGGAGTGGCAGGAGTGGCTTGATCTCCGTGACCACGTTCACCAACTTGCCGTCGACGCCGCGATCGCCCTCCCCGAGCTCACTGAGCTCCGTCCGGACCGCTGCATCTACTGCATCGACGGCGCCGACTGTGAAGGCCACGACTCCTCCGGGTCCTCCGCGGGGAGCCACGACCAGCAGGACGACCCCATGGAGGACGCGGACAGCGCCTACGATGCCGACAGTGAGCTCAGCTACACGAGCTGTGATATTGAGGGCTGCGAGCGGTGCCGCGAGTTCTATGCTGCGAACGCTGAGCTTGCTCCCCGCGCTTAGGGGAAGGGCTAAAATTCCCCTTGAAGCGAAAGAGTAGAGGTTTGTATATACATTCAGTTGTTCGAGTAGTTGATGATGTTTGACGCTGGACGCTGAGATCGAAACTTGCTGGTTGGAGGACTGCATCTAGCATTACGAGGCCATACGCACGTTGTAGATGGCGGTGGGACAGTACTTCGAGATTCTGGGGGATCTTCGCGAGAGTCTCATAAGTGCAGAAAGGGTGGGCTAGGAGGAATTGTGTCACTGAAACAACAAACATATTGCTATTCAGACGCAGTAACTAGCTCGGAGAATCTGTCAGACAACGATCTCAATCAGACCGCGCAAGGTGATAATCACATTCTGCAAGCTGGTCTGGCCCAGCACTTCATACGGTTGCAAGTAGTTGATATGAGGTACGGATCTCATACTGGCGACTCAAAGTTGGCGCTCTCTCATCTAGAGGGCAGAGAATTGCATGTTATACCTTTCTGCGCGAGGTGAGATGTGTCGGTAACGGGTGCTCGTGCCGAGGAGGCGGCTAAAGCGTCCTCTTTTCAACTCTTACCTCCCAGCAGTTGAGGCACATGTCGAGGACGGCAAGCTGGCCCTTGAGGCGCTCCACCTCCATCCATACCCTGTCGTGAACTTCTGGCGTGCGTATGTCGCAGCTGTTGGCGTTCCTGTTTGATGCTTTGAGAGATTTGGGCGCCGCTCCCAGGACGGTGTTGGGGCTCACAATTGTGCCCCCACGCGAGCTGGATGTGGTGTTGCTGCTCTTCGTGGCGTTGCTCCAAACGAGGCTGGACGCGGAACTCGCTGTGCGTGAGTGCTTGCCAGAGGTGGACATGGTGGCGAGTGGTCGTGAGTCTCGTTACGGTGCATCAGTTCTTATAGCTCCTCCAAGCATATCGAAGCGTTCGTGTTCATTGCTAATGCACTCATTTCTTTGTTGCTGGTGTTTTGAGCTGCGCAAATAGTACTGAGATTGAGAGCGGTGTGTGCATGTAATCGAGCCAGCCAGCCAGCTCCAGCTGTGGTCCTGGGACAAGTCTCCCACGCGTTCGCATCGCCTTGCCACCAACAGCCGAGGCTGTTGACCAGGAAGCATGAGGGCAGCAAGAGTAACAAATCAACTAACAATTCAAATGGTGGCGAAATAAACACACCTCCACCCCAAGTGACACACTGGCCACGCCGCTTGTCATATATATCCGCGCCCTCTCCTTCCTGCTTCTCGCCCCATCTCTCATCCCTCATCCCTCATCGACACTTTACCCCGTCATGCACGGCAACCGCTACCGCTCTCCTGCCAACAACCCAGCATCGACGAAGAAGACTCCACCCTCGAAGCAGGGCGGCCCTGCCCTTTCGGGGCCTAGCCACTCTCCCCACGACAAGGACGTGGGCGCCGACGTGGGCACTTTCGCACGCTCGCGCAACCGGCCGCGCAACCGTCGACGCAAGGGCGGGCGTCTGCAAGACGAGAATCAGAAGGTGAGCCATACAAGTAGCTAAGCTTGACGGCAAGGGGCCGATACCCGGATCGCAGCGCCACCACGAGGTACAACTTCACCGAGAGTCGGAGGCCAAATCCTCCGAGAGGCCTTCTTGGGAGGAGGTTTTCGCGCGGATGGCGGACGAGGCTGAGCTCGAGTTGAGCGCCGACGACCCCGCTGATGGGTGGGGGGAGCCGCCCAAGTCGAAGCTCAGGCGTCTGCGCGTGGAGAAGTGGCTTCTTGGGGTCGTTCCCGGCGCCGCACCTTTTTAGATGGTCAAGACGTAGAAGTGCAGTCTCCTTGCCGATGTATCATAGCCTTAGGGTGCCAGCACATGCTAGCTCTCGAATCAGTCCAGCTGTATCTATGGCGCTGAAGATTCGGAGTTGGATACGTGGGTTGCATCTTGGCCGCATGATGGGAAGCTGAGAAAGTGTTGGGTGGCAAATTCCGCGACCGTCTCTGTTGATCATTGTCAGGGTTGGGCAGACCCAATCGCGATCGATTCTTGATACCGCGCCGACAACCCACCACTTGTCAGTCGCATGTCGCTTTACAAGTCTCACCGGAGCCCGGAGCATGTCCTGCTGTTTGCGATCTCATGCGGTCCGAAGTTTGCTGCCCCACTCACTCGCCGCCTGATACCCGTATACACATGATGCCGCAGGCTCAGCGGCTGGAGGCAACCTCACCAGATGTGACTTCGTCAATTAGGATGTCTGAGAAGATCAGACTCCCGGAAGAGTACTCCCAGAGGACAGAACAGGCCATGCATGATGTACAACATTGTCTTCCACGGCGACGACGGCTACCTTCGCGCATCACCGCGCCGTGGCCCCGCTCCCGCGTACCCTTTCGTCTTCCGTGCCAGATCCTCCTTCATTAGCCGCTCCGCCTCGGACATGAAGCCCTTGGGTTTGGCGTCATCCTTGTCATCCGTCTTGGCGACTTTGGCCGCCTTGAAGACGTTGCCAGCGGCTGGGCGCTTGAGCGGATTGGCGGGCTTGAGGGGGTTCGCCGCAGGCATTTTACCGAAGGACCCGAAGCTCGTCGGCTTCTTCTCTACTGTTGGTGCTGGTGTCGTCGACGAGTCTGATGATGCCTCTTCTTTCTTCTCCTCCGCGGCCTCAGGCTTGGGGAACAGGCTCAACGAGATCTTCTCGCCTTCCTTCCGCTCCAGACCCTTCTTCTCCACCTCCTCCTGCTCGGCGATGGCGCGGGCGCGGGCGATTTGATCCTCAATCATCTTGCGTTCACGATCCTCACCGTCCATTGTTGACCGCTCTTTCTTCTGCTGTGCCGCCTGATGTCAGCGTAATCTTGACAACAGTGCCTCATGTCTTCTCCTCTGGTTGTCTCCCCAAATGATCTCTCCCACGTCTCGATTGCCGTGCTCTCCGTCCCAACGAACTGCGTGCGTCTCCGTCCATGCCCGCCTTCAACTCACCTGCTTCGCCAACGTCTCTGGTCGGTTGTCGACCCACTGAATCCAGAGGTGACCGCGCTCGTCCTCGTCCACGCGCACAATACCGGCCTTGCTGAGCGTCATAATGAAGCCATTCAGCGTAACCCAGCGGGTCGCGTTCATGTGGACGTGATTCTTGTCCTGGATGAACTCATTGTACACGGCGTTGGCGCGCACACGCTGCGTGTTGTGACGCGACTTAAGGAGCGACACAAAATCGTACTGGAACTGCCTCGAGAACTCGGCGATGGTCGCGCCAGCGGTAGGTCCAATAGCCATGAGCTTGCGGAGATGCGGCTCAGAGCGACAATGCGCTTGGAAGCCATTTTCGTCTCGCATCTGTAGATGTGAGTTATATTCCAGATCTATTATGCTTACCTGCTTCTCACATGGCTGGCAGTACCAACGAAGACGTCCAAGGCCTGGTGTCAACTGTGGATGTCCGCAGTCTCGACGAAGGAAGGCGGGACGGGCACCCAACAACGGACTACACGCCTCGTTGCGAAGTCAGGACTCACCCTTTGCTTTCATAGCGTTGGCCATGGCCTTCGTGCCGCCTGGATCGCGTCCCATGATCGATGCTGACGGAGGAGGAGATAGATGAAATGGGCGGAGTTGGTTGTTGCTGAGCAAAAGTGGAGGTTGAGTGGCAAAGTGGAGATTAATGAATCGTCTATCTTGCTCACGTGGCCTCTTCTATGTAGCTAATACTCTGCGATTAGAAGTGGTGTATTGCGGAATGGTTCCGCAGTCGGCCGAGAGGTCTGGGCGGACGACGCGCAGACTGGTGACGTGACGGTAGACAGCATCTCTCATCATCGCAACAACACTCACACCACCATGGCATCCCCAACCAGCTCAAAGGAGGAGCCAAAGTCACCCAAGTCGCCATCGCCCGTCGACAAGGTCGCTGCGGCGTCGCCGCGCGCCACATCGCCCGCCTCGCCGTCGGCCGACAAACCCGGGTCCAAACCATCATCCCCGGCGCCCGGCGCCGCCGCCGCGACTTCCCCCCCTCCTGCTGCGCCTGCGCCTGCACCCGCCCCGCACGCCAACCCGAAAATTGCAGAGCTGCAGACCATGTTCCCGACCGTCGACGTCAGCGTCATCGAAATGGTGCTCGAGAGTGTCGGCGGTTCGCAGGACCGAGCGATCGAGTCTCTCCTGCAGATGACGGACCCGGATTTCAAGCCCGACGAGCTGGCGTCAGCGCAGCAGGAAGAGTCTGTGAGTTGCTGCTATTCACATTCGCGCGCTTACGAGTAGAACCAGGTTGACCTTGACGCCGAGTTCGCTCGCGCCATCGCACTCCAGGACGAGGAGGAGGCGCGGCAGCTTCGCCGGGACGCCCGCGGGGGTCGTGGCCCCGCAGCTCCCTCCAACGCTTCTCGGCTGCCCGAAGTCCTGCCGTACCAGCCGCGGGTGCGCAAGCCGCGCCGCCCAGTTGCGGACCCGTATGAGAGCGAGAACGCCAGAGCACAAGAACTGCAGGACCGCTACGACCCGCCGCCTGGCCAGGGCCAGAACCAGGGCGAGCTTCCTCCCGGCCTCATTGCCTTCGAGGAGAAGGTCACGGCCATGGCTGAAAGTGAGCGCGGTCGCGTCTCGAGCTAACAGCAGCCGGTCGCCAGACGTTCAACCGGTTCTTCAACAATGCGAAGGCGAAATACGCCGAGTACCAGGCCCAGCAGGCACAAACGTCTGAGCAGCGCGCGGCGCATCAAGCTCTGAACGACGAGGTGCCGCGGCAGGGCGGACTGTGGGGCGAATCCACGGGGCGTACTTCGTGAGTCATCGTCTGTGCGGTGCTAATTCCAGCCTCGGCTCGCGGTCCACCTCGCAAAGCAGCCAGGGTGAGGCGCCCATTTCGGCGCCCGCGCGTCGCTGGCACCCGTCAGACAACTACGAGGAGCCTGGTAGACCGAGCACTACAAGCGCCATTCCCGGTGCGGCTGGCCGACGCTCACCTGGCCCTGCAGGCGCCGCCAGCCCCGATAAGGGGGCTGCCGGCAAAATCGACTTGGCCAAGCTTGGCTTCCTGCCCAAGAAGCGCGTCGACCTCATGTCAACTTCACCTCAGCCTCGAGAGGACAAGGACCCCAACCCACACATTCCCACTTCGACGGGCCCTACAACGCCGACCACCGGCAAGTCTCTCGTGGACAAGATCCCAAAGACGCCCCCTGCTGAGACGAGCCCCCACACGCTTGGCGACAGCGATGATGACGACGATCTCGACTACACTGAGAACCCCTTCGACCGCCGTTAGTTTGCTAACATGTGATGTTGTCGTAATAGTGGGCCTAAGTTACGATGCACCTGAATGTACTTGACTGAGACAAAGCTGACGGCCGCTTCGATTGACGCACGCCATGAGATGGCTCCCACCAAGTCTATCCATGCTATAGCGACCAATGAACGAGTTACGGATCCAGTTGCAGAATATCGGTGCCGGTCTTGGCTGTGCACTCCTGCACCACCATTCGGAGCTGGAGTCAATGGGAGTTGACCTTTGGGCTCACATCAATCACTCCAGTCTCCACTGCGCGGACACTGAGCAAAGGCTCGTGATGGCCGCTGATAGCCGACGAGGTGTTGAGCGTATCCCCTGCGAGAGCAGGAATCCATGGGGCGGTGACCTGCGGTGAGCTATCACAAATCGCACTAACTTGCCCCATCGCTGGGCGTCTCGGGCTCGATGTCATCCTTGGTCTCCAGTATGATGGCGAAGGATGTGTCGCCTGATATTAGCCGGGGAGATGTATGTGTAGCTCACCTGGATTGTCCAGCAACTGCCCATCCAGTGCCACAAGGCGGATCAAGAATCCACGAAGCATCAGCGACAGACCTTCCTCGTCCGGTGCCCCTTGAATTCTGCGGTCAGCCTGCTCATCAACACCCAGAGTCAACGCACTTGGCGTCGCGTTGTGGTCCTTCCAACCCCTCGAGGCCCATGTATCCGAAGTCGATAATAAAGCGCTCCATCGGCGCGCGGCTCTCCACATCGTGTATCATCACCGTTACCCGCCGTAGCGTTCCCCGCTCCATCTCATTCCGGAGAGCCGACACGACGCGCCCGATGTATGCGCGCACTTCGGGATGTCGAGACTGGTAGACGGCGACGCCATGCGCTCGTCGCCTGGTGAATGTGTTGGGCGGATACACTTGGCGTATGCAGATGATAGTATGGATAACAATCTCAACTGCAGTAAGTTTGATTTGGTAACACCATTGCTCACGGAAGGACGAAAGCAAGTCGACGGTAGCTGTCGTCAGCTCGGAAGTGAGTAAGTGGTCGCGCGTCGGGGCGAGTAAGCGTGCCTTTGAAGCTCAGACCAACTTGCTGCTCCTTATGCTGCAAGGGAATACGCGACGGTCCAGCCTTGGCGTTCATTTCGTGGTAGGAGTGGAGAGGGTGTGAAAGATGTCGAGTAGATGGAAAGGTGATACGGTGCAGATGATGCGAGGTGAGTGGACCTCTGAGGTGGAGGTGGAGGTGAGGTTGAGTGATTGTAAATGGAAGGATGATATAAAGTAATGGCAACGGAATCAAACCCACTCTCCGATCAGTGCGTGCGTCATGCGCATGAAGGAAGGGGTGGAAGGCCACAGGGAAGGGGACAAACAAGACGACAACAACACTCGCCCACTCTTAACCCCCTCTTGTCATCCGCCACATTCATCACTCGGCACCACCCACAAGTGGGGCATTTCATCAACAACATCCACTTATCTCCATCTCGGCTTTCTTCAACCTTTCCCCTCCTCCTCGACTACATCACACAACATGTCGGCGCCCACTCGTGACGTCTACCTCGCACAGGATTTCAACCCTGCGTCATTGCGGGTGAGTACTGCATCTCTCAACGCACCTGCCTCCCATCGCTAACTTGCCAGGTTCCTCAGCTCCGGTTAGTTTCTTGGGGTGCGAGGAGGCACGCTTCCATGTCTTATGCCTTTTTTGCTCCCAATCATCTCTTTTGCCTCCTAACATCAGTTCCATCCTCCACGAACACGGCGTCCGCCACTCATCAGCGGCCAAGAAGGCCGACCTAGTGGCCTTGTTCATCACCGAGATCCAACCTCGCGCCGCGATCATCCTCGCCCAGGACGCGCGTGTGCGTCCTTCCGCGACGGGCATCATCGCCGTCTCGTCCACTGGTGACGAGGCGCCCGTGACACCAGTCGTTGGCAAACGTCCTCGAGGCCGGCCGAGGAAGACGGCGACTTCTGCCAGTGAGGAGCTCAAGGCCGAGGACGACATGTCAGAAGTCCCAGCCAAGCGCGCACGGTCACGCCGCTCAACCGTCGACGTCTCCGACGCAGAGCCCGCCCCCACGCCAGCCCCTAGGAAGAGAGGCCGTCCCCCCAAGAAGGTCAAGGAGGTCATTGCATCGGACGAGGAGAGCGACGTCAGAATGGAGGATATCCAGGAAGCACCAACTCCGCCCCCAAAGGCGAAGGTGCGGCGCAAGTCGGTCAAGCACGAAGTGCCCACTCGGGAACCTGTCCCCGATGTTCCCGCCACTGCACCGGCCGCTGTGCGCAAGCCGCGCTCTTCCTTCCTGCCGCCCGCTCCCAGGCCCGAGGACCACACGACGCCTCAGCGCCCGCGGCGCTCTTCCAACGCCGAGGACAACAGCTCTCCCTTTTCCGACTACAACCCGTTCCAGGCTGGCAGTGCTGAAGCTGCCGAGGTTGCGCGTCGTCGCCGCAAGGTAAGCCTCATTGTTCATCACAAACTCACGTCAGTCTTCCCTTGGCTTTGGCGAGAATAAGCGCAAGGCTCCGCGCCCAAGCGAATGGACTGCCACTTCGCAGCCGTCTGCCTCCATTCTGCGCAAGGTGGGCCCGTCAAATGAGAACCTGCGTTCCCCAGCACCGCCAAAGATTGCATATGCGGATGAGGTCGCTGAGGCCGACGCTCATAATGCGATTGTTGAGCGCAAGTTTGGGGAGGTAACCCAGTCGTATCCGGATGACGCCCCGATCACCGTCACCACATCTACGAAGATGGTGGAGAGGCCGAAGCGTAAGGCGATTATTCGGCGCAAGCCCAAGCCCAGCGGAAGCACACTGCCGTTGTCGCTGTTCAGCCTCCTCATTTTCATCTTATCCGCCCACTACAAATCTATCTCCACGAGCAACGGTTTCTGCGACAACAATAGCAACACCAACAGCGTCATTTTGGGGCGCGAGCTTCCAATCAAGGCAGCACAGGAGTGCATGATTCAGCGTGCGCAGTGGCAAGCGGATCACCCAGATGAGACCCCCAACATCACTTGCGACGTGGCGTCATTGCCCCTTGTTCCCTTCGTTCCCCGCCCCACAAAGTGTGTACCGTGCCCGGCAAACGCGCAATGCAGCAGGGGCGAAGTCGTCGCATGTGATCCAGAATATCTGCTCAAACCGAGCTTGCTGGCGCCAATCTCACCTCTTTTGGACGGGTGGCCGTTGATGCCGCCTCGTGTCTTCACGCCGAAGTGCAAGCCTGATACTGCGCGCATGCGCCAGATCGGCCAGCTTGCAACACAAATGGAACGCTTCCTCGCCAAGCGCCGGGGCACCATCGAGTGCTCCAGCGCGAGTGTCGATCTCACCGTCGGACCTGGTGTGCGATACGGTGTGTCAGAGAAGGAGCTTCTTAACACTTTCGCCGAGCGCCGCGTGGTGAGTGCTTTTTTGGATGACAGCTCACGTCCAGGACTCCATCGAGCGTGAAGACTTCGATGACATGTTCCAGCGGGCTATCACCGACCTCGTGGCGCACAAAGACCTCGTTGAGTCCATCGATGAATACGGCACGTCGTACTACACGTCTGCTCGCTCTGATATGTCGATGGCGTGTCACGCCAAGCTCGAGGCGCTGCACCTTCTCGACCAGTGGAAATCGCAGCTCGGCGGCACCGCAGCCGTCATCGCCCTCATATTTGGGCTGCGCAACCGCATCGAAGCGGCCCGCACCGAACACAAGCAGGTGCGCGAGTACACGGAAATGGCTGTGCGTCGGCTTCAGGACCAGGAGTACCGCCACTTCACCGACCCCGTGCAAAACCCCACCTCGTATATGCCGCCAGCGCAGCTGCGTGACGTGATCCTCCCAGCTTCACTGCGGCAGGGCACCAAGCAGCGCATCTGGTCAAAGGTCGAGGCCAAGGTTGAGGAGAACGCCAACGTCCTTGTGCGTGAACGCGAGGTCAAGGGAGACGTGTGGAAGACGTGGGAGTGGAGCGCGATTGGGGGCGGCCGCGCTGTCGAGCCATCTAGCCCTGCGCTCGCGATCGAGACTGGACCACCCGCCTTTTGAGAGTTATACCCCAATCTAATGCGTGTGTGACAATGTACATTATGCGTGCCATCTATGTGTCTATGCGCTTGTGGTGGCCTCGGCGGCGTCTTTGGCTTCGGTGGGGCGAATAGATTCTTCGGAGTTGTCCGCAAACTTGACCTTGGTGTCGCGCTTCGGAGTCACCTCGGCGGCCTTCTTCACAGCCTCCTCATATGCGCGAACGCCAGCTTCGACTTCCCCCTCGATGCGATCATACGTCCCACGTGCGATCTCACGGTTCTGCAGCACGGGTGGGAGGCTGGTGTGTCAGTAATGATAAGGGAGCTTGCTTACTCGATAACAGCACAGTCGCGAACAGTGTCACCCTGGCGAATCCCGGCGCGGCGGGGGTCGTCCTCAGCCTTCCTCCTCCCCCCCTCCTTCTTCTCAGACTTCTCCCCTTCCGTCTTCTCATTCTCGCCAGTCCCCTTTGACAGAGTCTTCCTGTCCTCGTCATAGAGCACCGGCGCACTCAGCGCGTGCAAGACGGACTGCACAGCCATCCCGGGCCCAGGCGTGAACAGCAGCACCAAAGGATAGATGAGCAGCCACAACCAACCCCATCCCCAGATCCCAAGAATGGGCCGCACAACCTCGTCCCGCGCCCACGGCATGACGACCGAGAGCGCCTTGATGTTACTTGTGACCTCAACCTTCTTCATCTCCGGAACAGGCACAGACGGATCGGGCGCCGCGCGCTGGGAATACGACGCTGAGGCGAGGGCATCGAGAATCAGCCGGAAGTGCGCATTCATGAAGAAGGTCGTGAGGCCGTCGGCGCCGGCGCGCTCGAGCGGGCCCGGCTCCTTGCCTGTTGACGAGGGGTCGGCGAGCTGCTTCTCGAGGCGCGGAATGGCGGCAGAGTACGCTGGAGAAACAAGAGAGACGATACGCACGTCGCGTTCAGCGGGAGCCTTGAGCAGCGAGGGAAGGAGCGATGTGACGAGGTGGAAGTGGTGCTGGTGTACTGTCCACTTTTTTTCCCCGTCTCCTTCCTGAAGTAGCGCGGCACGCTCATTGTCCGTGAAGGGTGTGGCGGAACACTCCCATCCTCCGCCGAGCACGATAGCGTCGACGCGCCGCCCCTCCTCTCCGGTCGTGCCCTTGTGCGGGCTCGACCATTTGCGCACAAAGTCCCTCACGCCGCTCACGGTCGGCGGGAGCGGCTCGCAGTGCAGCTGAGCTGCGGGGTTTGTAGACGCGATTTTGAGTGTGTGCAGAATTGTGAGCAAAGAGGCGGGGAGCGGGCTGGGCAGTGGTGGAAGATACAGGATCTGCGGGGGCGAGGGAAGATGCAGGAGGGCATGGAGGAGCGCGAAGGTCGTGGGTTCTGGCGGCGCCTGGAATTAGCTAGCGCACTGAAGAAGGCGAGACATACAACGACCATGATAAGCTTGCCGGCCCACTCGCGCTCCCAGATAGACTTGCGCCCGCCGGTCGCAATCTTCAGGCCGTAGGCGGTGATGCCGCCTAGCGCAGCGAGGACCAGGGTCGGGTTCGGAATGCCACCGAGCGACTCAGAGACGAGATGCACGGGCATGACGAGCGAAGGAGGAGTGAAGGAGAGAAAGAGTGGAGCACGAGACCTGCTCGAGCGGTGGTCGGGAGCTCGGGAGGGATAAATTAGAGTGCTGAGTGATGGGGACTAGCGCGACGCGCGTCAACGCCGAAATCTCATCGTCGTCACGTCACCACCCTCCTCCACTTTGTCAACATTACCCCCTCTCAAGACTCTCATTCCATTTCTCTTTCCTCTCTCCTTAAACGCCCACGCTCGTCATCCAAATGGTCAAAGAGCCAACAGAGTTCCAGCAGCGTCGCCTTCAGCGTCGTCTTGAGGACCTCGAGGTAAGCCCCTTCTCGAATCCCACGCCGCGTTTCGCTCACATCAGCGTACAAATCCCACTGATATCCCCGCGACCTCGTTCCAGCCTCCGGCGCCGCCCGCCAACTCGCCCGCCGCGCTAGCGCTCGCAGCCGCCAAGAAGAAGCAGACGCCGAATGTCCGCCGTGCACTGTACGGAAAGAAGAGCCTGCGCGACTGGCTTGGCGAGCTCCCTCCGTCCCCGACGCCGCCGTACATCACGGCCGCGGCACCCGCGCCTGCGACGCCGCCACGACGTATCTGCGCGTCATGCGGATATTTGGGGGCGTACGCTTGCCGGCGGTGCGGCGAGTGGAGCTGCAGCATCGAGTGTGTGGGCGTGCATGAACGAGATGGAGGGTGCGGAGTTGCCGCTTAATCGAAGCCTCTGCGCACTGGCAGTCGCCTCAAGACATACCGCACACTCACGCCGCCATATCTCTGGCCCTTGCCAACTGCCGATGCTCCTAGAAAGAGTGCGTACAGTTTGCTCCATCGCTTGCTATCGCCTTGGCAGCGTATGAGAGATCATGAGCTTCACGTGCTCCCCCGTGAGCGGATAGAGGCGGCAGGTAGCTGACGGGCCAGCATGGTACTCTTCTGCGCGCGAGAGCCCAAGCAGCCAAACTACAGCAAGGCACAGCCAAAGCCAGTCGAGCCATGCTGAACACACCGCGGGCCGTTGTCTCATCTCCCAGTGCGTTTACTGCGGAGAGACAGTACACGAGTGCACAACTTATGTCCATTAAAAGCAGCGCATAGTGTTCTTCGGCGTGATGCTCATTCGAACCTCCATAGCAATGGTATAGCAGGCTCGGGAGGAGATGGTCGAACAGCGGTGCTGGTGGATGCCGAGCACAAACAAGTCGGATGTACGGATGTAGCACGAGGTAGAGAGAGTGGGATCGCCACAGACGGCGTTAGCGGCGTATAGGCCTGCTAAGACAGCGCTTTCATCACCATCACTCAAACATTGCACGCCTTCCTCGCCGTCCGCATCAACAACAGAATCACCTTCCGCACCCCTCCACTCTCAACGTCCACTCCTCCTTGGCCCCCTCGGCGCCCTTCTGTCGCCCATCTTGTCGCGGCCATGTCGCGCCAGCCATCCACTCCAGTACCCGCAAGCACGTCTCAGCCTCCAGTTGACTCGTCCACCTTCTTGCCACTAAGCAATGCCGACGATGTCACATTTGCACTCGTAGATGACGCCCACGGTCACGCCGACCCGCATGATGAGGAGGCGGCCCTCGAAGCGCTCCGCGCAGCGATCAGCGGGTCAGCAGACAATGAGGCTGGTGTCGAGGGTTCCGCTCCTCCTGACCCCGCGGAGTCTGCAGCCGCCGTCGAGGCGGCGGCAGCTGCCCTCGCTGCCCCTACACTAGTCTCTGCCGGCCAGGTCCAGTCCCAGTCACTCGAGAAGGCCGTCGCGCAGATGCAGCAACTCTCGGCAGCCAACCTTCAACTCATTGACAGCATGAACGCGCCCGCTCTGCTGCAGAGCCTGATGGGCTCGTTCAAACTGCTCGCCGACAGCAATCGGCGGCAGGCGGAGCTCGTCAAAAACGTGATAGACAGCATCCAGGGGCGTGGACCGCCGACCATAGATCCGCAGCTCGCGATCTCGTATGTTCCACGGAGCGACTACGACGCCCTCAAGGCGCGCTATGACGCGCTCGTTACGACCAACAGCGTCGCGTCCGGCGTCGGCGGACCAGGAACGGCGCGACGCGCGCGCATGGCTCCCAAGAACCCACCTACGCTGGTGCAGGCGGAAGTTGAAGAGGACCGCGCACGGGAAACGAGCGGCACTCCTTTCGGCGAAGAAGAAAAGCGTAGTCGCAAGCGCCGGTCAATGAAGCTCGAGCATCTCGTGCACAAGATGGCGAACCGCCGTCTGGGCGTCGAGTATGCAGTGTCAAACTTTGAGGTCAAGGGGACCAAGGAGCTGCCAATGCCCGGAACAATCCCGCCAGGCGCGGACACAAGTCTAAACGGTGTTGATGAGTTCCGCCCCGATTTCCGCTCGGACTTGGGTCACCCCGATCTGAGACCATTCCTTGATGCAGTTACAGCCGACGTCAAGGACGCTTGGGGAGAATCGTTTGCCACGGACGAACCTGAGGTTGACGACGATCAAATTGTCAAGGCCGTCACGACGTATTGGACACGCCTGAGCAAGCGCTACAACGAGCAGCTGAGCCGCCAGCGCGGCGAAGTGCACAAGGATGAGCTCACACGCCGCAAGCAGAATCAGTACCGCCGTCAGCAGAGCTTGGTTGCGCGCCGTACCGCCGCGTTTGATACGTCCCCGCTCAACCTGTGCAAGTTCCGCGCGCTGTATCGCACTCTTCTCACAATCGATTTTGCAGCTATGACGAATGAGCGTCCCGACCCCAAGCGCGAGTACTCGGCCGACGAGTGGTATGCGTATCGCAAGAGGAGCGGGGCGAAAGGGGCCGACGCCCACGAGGTCGTTGACCAGTTCTGGCTGAGCTCGCAGGTGCGCGCTCTCCTCGTCACACTCGATACATACGCACACGACATGACCTCGAAGATGCGGCGCAAGGGGCGGCCTAAGCAGCCTGCACCCACGTTCCATCTCCCGCCTGAACTCTGGGACCGCTCCCAACTTCCTGTACTCCGCAAGAAGCAGGCGGACGGAATGCCGCACCCGACAGGCGCCGGCATCGTGCTCTTCAAGTTCCACGTCGATGAGAAGGTTCAGGAGCAGAACCCCGAGTGGGCAGAGGGGTTGTATGACACGCCACCCGTGCCGGACGAGGACAAGCTGCTACCCTCACTATCGGACGTGATGAACGCGAACGCATTCTACCACCTCAAGCCGCGGATCAAGCAACTGCGCGCCGAGAGCGTCGTGCCGCGCATGACCCCGGATGAAGTGCAGGCGACGCTGAACGATCCGAGCCTGGAGGAGACGCATGCGGCGGTCGCTGCCGCGACACTCGAAGATGACTTTAACGCCCTCGCGCCAGGGTACGACTGGACGACGGGCCGTGGCCTCGAGAGCGTCATTGCCATGGCGGCTGGTCTACAGCCCATCCAGCCCATCCTTCCGCTCAACCTTGATCCGCCGAGTGGCCCGCAGCACGGTCCGTCCCTCGGTTCGTCAGTGAGAGCGCGCAAGCAGGCCAAGAGGATGATGAGCGAAGCACCGGGTGGCGCGGCGACACCCGTCCCAAAGCGTTTTAGGGCGGATGACGGGGGCGAGGATGATGTCGATATGGAGCTCAACGGCGACACGAGCTTCCTCGACGAGTTGTAGTGTACTTTCTCACCAGTGTATCACAATAGCCGCGTCAGAACCACACGTAAGAGGTTGCACAAGTCGACCACTATGCAGACGAGCTGTGTAGTGTGTGAGGCAGGCATGTTGTGTCCAGGCTGTCGAGAACCCTCGTGACAAACCTGCGATCCCCACTGACGCTGTCGTATCCCGGCTGTTCAAAGCTCAACGTACGGACTCATGAAACGCATTCCGAACACCAGCCCCAATCCTCCGACGCCCCCTTCCTCCTGGGCTCAGTCGTACACAAGATGCTCTTATGCTTTTGCATTTCTGCGGCGCAAACCGCTTCTACCACCGCAGCCTAGCAAGCCAGGCCGCTGTCTCCTCCGGCCTAAGCTTAGGCGCGCTTGGCAAGAGCCTCGACGTTGGCAATGGCCTCGTCAAGGAGCTGCTTCTTGAACGCGGGCTTGGCAAGCTCGGCGTTGATAGCCTCCGAGACGGTCTTGACGAGTGCGGCCTGCTCGGCCTCACGCGCCTGCTGCTCGTAGCGGACCCACGAGTCGAGGACCGCCTTGAGCTCGGCCTTGACGGCAGCCTCCTGCTCAAGGAGGAAGTTGGCGTGCTCAAGCTGGTTCGTCTCCTTGGCGACAGCGTAGAGCTGCTCGGTGAGGGGGACGACCTCCTTGATCGACTCGAGGCCGTCAAGGCGCTGGCTGACGGCGTGCGTGTGCTGGTCGCGGGCGCCGTTCAGGATGCCCTTGATGCGCTCGATGTGGCCGTTGGCCCACGAGGTGTAGGGGGCACCGATGCTCTTGCTGATAGCGTAGAGGATGATGAAGAAGCCGACAGCGAGAACGGTCTCCTCGTTGGCAACCTGGGGTTAGCAAAGGAAAATGAAGGTGGATGAGGCCGGATGACCTGAAACAGCCGCAGGCACGAGATCGAACGCGCGGAAAGGCGGGAGATGGGATATGGCGATCACGGCCAGCGCGCCGGCAGGCGGGACGGAGTCGGTGCGTTGGAAGAAGTGCGAAATGGACGGACGTTGAATTCCGCCAATCCCTGCCCGCATCGCACCTCGGATCCAACGAGCCCTCCGACAACATCCACCCCGGCCCGCTCTGCGCGCGCGCGCGGCCGCTCGGGATCCCCAGCGCTCTCCGCGCTTCCCTAAACAATGAAGGTGTTTTGCGTGCGCAATCTCGCGCCCGCTCCCGTTCTTTTAAAGATACCCACGTAGAGCTCGTTCGAGATGGCAGCGGCCGAAAGACCAGTGATGCCGAGAACACCAGCCGTCTTGGTGAACAGCGACGACGAGGGCACCTTGTTGATGATCTCGGCGGCCTTCTCGTCGGGGGTGGGCTCTGTATATCAGCTACTGTCGATGTCGATGCAGATCTCGGCATTCTCCATCCACTCCAACACCTCCGAGGTCTCCTTCTCCGCCTCGCCTGTCGCTCCTCGTGCTCCTCCGCGCCCCCAGCTTCCGCGCAATCTCTCCTCCTCTTTCTCCCATGCTATCTCCGTCCTCGCGCTTTCGCGCGCTCAACACTCACGCGAAGCGTAACCGCGCGCGCTGCCGTCAGCAAGTCATCCCAATTTTCCTGACCAGCGGTCTGGGCAGTTTCGACGTACGCGACAAGGGCACGGGGCACGACGGCGGGGCGCGCCGCCCGGAGCGAGCGGATAGCGAGACGGGAGGCCATTTTGATGAGAGTGGTGGGTAGCGAGGAGATGGATACGAGTGGCAGTCGAGCCGAGGGAGGCAGCGGCCAGGCGGGGGACGGGTGGACAGGCAGGCTCGCTGGGGCGGGGGCAGAGTGGCCCTCCCTGGCAGGCCAACCGGACGGAGAGGAGCGAGACGCTCCGATGGGTGTGACGGAGAAATAGCGGTGGATTGAATGTGGCACCTCCCCACGTGGTTGTCACGATCGCGCCTCCTCGAGATTCAGTCCACCGTTCAACAATCAACCCACCCAGCACATCATCTCATCTCACTGCGTGCAACGGCCTGGCACCCTCTCTACTCTCTCCCTCCTTGCCGTCTCCCTTGCTCACCTCCTTCTTAATCCCCCGCCGTTATGTCGTCCGACGCGGAGAACGACCTCTTTGGCGACGAAACTGCTGGCAGCCCCTCCACTAGCCAGCCAGGCGCTGCGCCTTCCCCCGCGGCAGGGAACGACAATGAGGCCGACCCACACGACCTCGTGAGTGAATGTGAAGATGAATGAGCTAATGTCAGTTCGGAGATGAAGATGACAACGAGCCACGCCGTGAACGCTCCTCATCGCGTACCCCTGTTGAGTCGTCACCCCAACAACATCCGCTGGAATATGGCGAGGCGAGCGACGACGAGAACGAGGAGATCTCAGAGGCGTGGGCTTCCGTTCCAGTGCCTACATGGACGCGACTGCATCCCACCGACGGCAAGGTGTGGCAGCTGAAGCTGCCCCAGCACATCAACCTCGAGGCCGATCCATACGAGGCCGACTTCTATCGCCAGAACCTGAGCGGGGAAGATGAGAACCTGCGTGGATCAGATGCCAAGGCGCGCATGCTCGATGTGCGGAACACGATGCGCTGGCGCTGGGTGACGGGACCTGACGGCAAACCGACCAAGCAGGCAAATGCGCGCATCCTCCGCTGGAGCGATGGAAGCTTGTCCCTACAGTTGGGGCAGGACATGTACGACGTGCAGAGCACATGGGGGACGACCGTGGCGCGCAAAAGCGACAAGTACGAGCGCACCGAGGCGAACAGCAAGGGGAGCCAGGAGACGAGCTTCGTATGCTACGCTGCGGCGGAGGAGCAGGTGCTCGTCGCCGAAACAGCGGTGGAGGGGCAGCTGAACCTCGTTCCCACGAGCATGGATAGCAAGACGCACCGAGAGCACGTCAAGCTTGTCGGGCAGCAGCACACCAAGCACTCGCGCATGCGCCTTCTCGAGGACGAGGCGGCGGGCGACCGTTTGCAGGAGCTGCTGGCCCGCGCTGGGCCACAGAAGGCCGCGCCCGTCAAGAAGGCGCGCCGGGCGTCAGGAACTGGCGGGCCGCGCAACACCTTCGGGAGACGGAGTGCGTTCGGGCGCGCGACGAAGCGCGCCGACTCAGAGGAGAGTGAGGAGGAGGCCGCCCCCCGCAACCGCGGCGGCGGTGGGTACGATGAGGACGACGGGTTTGTGGTTGCCGACTCGGACGACGACGACGACGAGTATGGGAAGCGTAAGAAGAACAAGCGCCGGAACGAGGAAGAGGACATGGACGCGACTGAGCTCGCCGAAGCGCGTATTGCAGCACGCGAGAAGCGCGAGCGCAAGCGCGCCAAAACGAAGAAGAGTCGGGCGTACTCTGACGACGAGGAGGATGAGGAGGACGCCGCTGGCGAGCCGGAGGAAGAAGATGAGGCCGAGATGGAGATGGATGTCGAGAGCGAAGAAGAGTAATAGCCTGTATGCATTAATGTACGAGTACGGCACATGATGTGGAATTAAACTGCATGCACATCCTAACAGATCGTATCTATCATGAGTCTCGTCTGAGTCGAGGCGCTGGTGTTCATCCGGAATCTCCGGAAATTACTCGTAAAGGGTGTCGAGGAACATCTCAGCAACCTTGCCCACCACGTGTGGTCCAACGGCAGTCTGGCCGACGCCGTACAGCGCGACGAGGTTACCGCCCGACTCGGGCTCCTTCTTCTCGGCGGCGATGCACTCGGCGAGGTCGTCGAGGAGCTGGTCGACGCTGGTGGCGGTGAGCTTGGTGAACGCCATGTGAAGACCGGCGGGCTTGTTGAGGGGGTTGAGGTGCCAGCCCTTCTTGCTCATCCGGTCGCCGACGGCGTAAATGTTGAGCGAGTCGGACCCAAACGCGACGACAGACAGAAGCGGGTCGCCGATGACAAACAGGTCGTCCTGGAACCGCTTTTGAAGCTGGTCCTTGAAGTGGCGCGCGGCGCCGATAATGTCCTTCGCCGACTGGGTGTATCCCTCAACACCGTACGTGTTCACGACGGCCCACGCGCCGGCAATGATCGAGCCGGGGCGCGAACCAGCCATAGAGGGCGAGGCGTACACCCCACCGGCCCAGTCGGTCATGACATAGTACTGATACCGGCGCATGGCGGGTGAGTTGTACATGATGATACTTGAGCCTGCCATCAGCTGGTCCAACAAAATCCACTCACCCTTCGGGCAGAAGGCATACTTGTGCGTGTCGCACGAGATGGCGGTAACGCCCGGTACGGAGAAGTCAAACTTGGGCAGGCCGTCGCTGTATCCGGCACGCTGGGCGAAGGAGATGATGAACGAGCCGAGGCAGCAGTCCACGTGCAGGCCCGTCTTGTACTTGCGCGCCAGGGCGGCAAGGTCCTCGATCGGGTCAACGATGCCGTCGGGGAAGTTGGGTGCCGAACCGACCAGCATGATCGTGTTCGGGTTGATGAAGCGCTTCATCTTTGTCACGTCGGCCTTGCGCGTGCGCGGATGAACAGGCACGACGTGCAGCTTGATCTTGAAATACTGCGACGCCTTCCAGAACGCGGCGTGTGCCGTAGACGGAATAATCCTGAAGTCAGCAATGGCGCACAAGCAATCTCACATCTCTGGCGCGGAGACGCCCTTGACTGCGCGCGCCCAGTCGCGGTGCGCCTTGCACGACATGAGAATCGACTCTGTGCCGCCCGACGTGGCTTCTGTCAGCTCCACAGGCAGTTTGCAGCTTACTAGTGCCAGCGCCATTCTCGCCGTGGAACAGCTTGAGCACCATCGACACAAGCTCAGCCTCCATGCGGCGCACGCCGGGGAACACGTCAGGGTGTAAGGGGTTAGAAACGATGAAGTTGGACATGGCCTCGTTGATGACGACGTTCAGGTCATCTCCGCCCTGTGGTCAGTGCGTTCTCTCTTCGGCTATGGCTCACGTGGTAGACAGCACCCGAGACGCGGCCAGCGCTGAGGTCGCCTCTGTCGAGCTTGGCCATGTTGCTCCACTCTCTGCGGAGCCACTCGATGTCTCGCCCCTTCTCGGGAAGCTCGCGAACATCCTCGAGCTCAACGCCAGGCGGGAGGGTCTTGGGCGCGATCTTGGCGGACAGCTCGGCGCGCGTCTTGGCGAGTTCCTTGGCAATCTGCACGCGGGCGCTCGGCATGCGGAGCATGATGCGAACGAAGATCTGGAATGAGCGGTACTCTTTACCTAGAGACATACGTTCCTAAAGGCGCCGTAGATCTGCTTACTTGTGCCTACAAAGCCGTAGGCGTAGACATGGCGGTAGAGGCCGACGAGGGCCTTGAGAAGAACGAGGAGGCGGAAGAGGGAGCCGAGCTGAGCAGCACGCTGGAGGACCACCTGGGTGCGAGGACCGGGTTTGGCACGGGCGGCGAGTTGTGACCACTGCGGCATGATACAGGATGGTGGGGAGAATGAAAGCAAGGAGCTGGAGGAGGAGGCCTACAGAGTTAAGTAGACGGCGAGATGGGTGAGTGAGAAGAGGAGAGGAGACTGAGGAGTGTGGATATGAACAGTGGCCACCGCCGTCGCCACACCGGGACGATAATCGTTCCAAGTCGCCGGGTGGTGATGTTTCGATAATGGCATTAGAAGATCCCCAAATCTCCAAATGAGCTTCGGCCACCAACGATACCCTGCGCCTTCGACCGCCCTGGAGCGACAATCCGCGGCCGGTTACGCACTCTTGCCGCCGCCGGCTACTGCCTTCAACCCTGTAGTTCTTGCCGGAGACCCCACATTCTCGCGTCACTGGACGCTTCACGTGCATCAGCCGCGGCCAAGCGGTTGACTCACCTCTCCACATGGACGCATAGACCTGCATATCCATCCTTCTTCCTCTCTTCCACTGTGCATTTACACTCTTCTTCACGAATTCACGATCTCTCGGAACCGCTTCACGTCAAAACTTCACCAAGTGCCCACAAAACGCCCAATCCCCATGCCAGAGCTTCCAGGTGAGCCCCCCTAACGGAGGTGGCCGAAGGTGCCCGCCCTCTGTTCTGTGGCTCATGTGACTTCTCATGTGTTGCAGCCGCGCCTCAGGGGTCGGGCCCCGCTGCGAACAGTCGCAGGAATGTTGTCGGCGACGTCGTCCTATCATGCCCCCCAATCGGCGTCTGTTAACCGAGCAGAAGTCGAGCGCGCGCGCAAGCTTATCGCCGAGACGTGCACCGGATGCGTAATTACTGAAGTTGACACGGTGGAGGACAAGATCGTGTACGATGGCACCGACCATCTTGAGTTTGTGAGCCATGCCTGCCTCCTTGAAGTTAATGGAAGGCCAAGGAGCTCCTTGGGCGCACGGTGACAGGATGCGAGCGCAAGGGCAAGCAGTGAGAGCGTCGCAGTAGCAACGCTGAATCAGATTTTGGATAACCCTCGGCGGTGAAGGAAGGTATCCAGTCATGCACTTCGGGATGACGGGCATGATCCAGGTGACCTAGAGGGCAAAGTGGAAGCTGACTGACAGTTGCGCGGCGGCGAACCGACATGGTACAGGCGCAAGTACAACCTCGGTGAAACAGTTGATGCGTGGCCACCAAAGGTAAGTCCGAGTAGGATTTCGCTCACAGCCAGTTTTGCAAGTTGTGCGCTGACATCTGACGCGCGACAAGTCTGACATCAGCGTAATGAAGCTTACCCCCGCAGACGGGGATGTGCGCGAGCTTGCCTTCATCGACCCCCGCCGACTAGGACGCTTGCGGCTTGTGCCTGACCCAGTTCTCTCCCATCCGCCGCTGCGAGAACTGGGCTTTGATCCAGTGCTCAACCATCCTACACTGGAGGAGTTTCAGGTCCTTATCGGCACCAAGAAGGGCACGGTCAAGGGCCTGATCATGGACCAAGCCTTCAGCGCGGGCGTGGGCAATTGGATCGCTGATGAGTGAGCTGCTAGGCGTGCAAGCCGAGGATCTGACAGCAGAGTTCTATATCAGGCTCGTATCCACCCCATGTGCCCTGTACCAGCTCTCACGGAGGTGGAAGTTACTGAGCTTCACCGCCTGCTGCGCGAGGTACCGTTGCGCGCCGTTGAAGTGAACGCCGACTCGTCTCTCTTCCCCGGAGACTGGCTGTTCCGCTGGCGTTGGGGTAAGGGGAAGAAGAAGAGCAAGAGCAAAAAGAAGGCGGGGGAACAGAGCACTCTCGATGCGTTTGTGAGAGAAAATGAGAGCCAAGAAAACGGTTTGGGTCAAGACATCAAACCTAAGGCACTCGAGTTCCTCGCATTGGTGAGAGATTGTATCTATGAGTATACTAAGCTAAAACTCAGCCGGATGGCACGCGCGCCACCATCTCCTTCGTTACTGTCGGTGGGCGTACATCCGCGATCGTCACCGAGCTTCAGAAGATGCCTCAAGGGATCTTGATCAAGCCCAAGGCTAAGCGGGTCGGAAAGAAACGCAAGGTGGAGGACGTAGGTCAGGACCGATTAGCAATCAACTGAGCTCAGAATGATAGCGACCTCACAGACATGAGCGACGAGGAGAGGGTGACGCCCGAGCGAAACAGTAAGCGTAGTCGCGCGAAGAAAACAAGGGCTGCCCTCTCAGTGAGCTCCGCGAGGTAGATTGGACTCTAATCAAATAGGAACCGGACAGCGAAGAAGAAATTAAACCGTCGACGAACTCAAGAGCGGAGCGCGCTGCTCGCCGTATGAGCAGAGCGTAGACTCGTTGCCGCTACCCAGGAAGGAGGCTTATACAGCGTAAGATACCCATTACCTCCTCCTGCTCCTGCTGACCTCGCGAAGCATTCTCAGTGCACATGCACGTATAACCATCCGAGCTCGGAATTTCGTTTGCCACTAACCTGCTGTTAGGCGCCATGGGACTTTCTTGTGTTTTCATCCAACGACCTCTAACACTGACGAAGGCCGCCACAAACCTTGTTTATTTGAGTGCTTATTGGACATTCTTCATATAAGCGCACACAACGATTCTCCCACCCCTCCATGTCCCACGCCTACAACCTCTTCCTCATGTTGCGCTGTTCAAGGTCGACGTCGAGAATCGCTATAAGATTTTGCGCCTCCCACCTTCTGCACTCCCATGTGCACATCCCTTCCAAACCACCTTCGCTCGCACCGACACTCCGTTACCATTACCCCTCTATCACTATGCTTGTAGGTTCGAACTCGCCTGGCCCCGAGTCGGCAAGTACGCATACCACCTCGACTCTCGCGTTACCATCCAAGCCCCCTCTGGTTTTAGACCCTATGCCCAGCTTTCCTCTCCCTTCACGGACAAAAGCTTGTGACGCATCACCCGCTGAAGGTGAGCAACAACGGCGATAATGCTCACTCTCGAGACAGCTTCCAGCCGTCCCCTCCCATTTCCTCGGGCTCGCCGAGTGTCTCTGTGCCTTCCACGCCCTCATCAAATGTCCTCCTTGCTTCGCTTCTCAGTGACGCTTCCGCAGGAAGGGGCACTTCCTTTGAAGGCTCCCTACAGTGTGGCACTGTACATGTCTCTCCCGGTGACAAACCGTTGTCCGCCTTCGCTCGGGCAACCCCTGTGCGCGTGTTTATGCACCATAGGCCACCAATCTCAGGTGTGCCCGCGAGCTCACCCCTTCACGAGAATACCCATCTCGACGAGCAGATTCACGAAGCAACGGTTGATGCTCTTGCGATGATGGACCTTGAAGAGCATGCCGCGCTCGTCGCGTCTGATGCGGTCGCACAGGGCACGTGGCTGGAGACCACGCTCCGCCGGGCCAAACTGGACTTCACAGCCTCACCCATCAAACTGCCCAAGGCGTCCAAGGCTCAGGAGTACACGATTCCTGGGAGCACGCAGCCTCTCTGGGTTGTAGCTCTTCGCGCCCCGGTTTCGGAGCGCGTGCAGCTCACGGAGACCCCCAGTTCTCGACGCGGCCTCCCAGCCCCGATACCCTCAGCGGGTCAGGGCGTGGTACTGGTCGACATGAACGGACGGTCGCAACATGAGCAAGACGCGAACAACACACCGCGGCGTGGCAGTAAACGACTGGCAGCGACCAAGTGGCGGGACCCCGAGCTGGCCCCTCCACAGAAAACAGACCCGCCCCGAACTGCTGATGAGGTGGCCCGCATGATGGCCCGCCTCCCTACTAATGCTTCAACTCCGATGGAGGCAGTCATAAGGGCGAATCGAGGCTTGTCAGTCTCTGAGCGAGCCATCGTGCAGGCATCGCCAAGCGCGACCGATGCGTGGCGCCGTGAGGTGATTCGGCTATGGAAGGTGAAACGCGGGTGGCTGACTGAAAGCGGCCCGGCGCTTGGATGGCAGGGCGATTCGACGGCCGAGTTTGCGCCGAAGGCGCTGTCGAGTCCCTCCCCAGCTGATTCCGGGCCTTCAGCTCGGGCTTCAAGTGCAACCGCCGCGTCGTTGTTGGAAAATCCGTTCAACAACCAGAACATCCCCAGCCGCACATGCAACGCCTTCGCCGCCCAGTTGCGGAGAGGCATCAGGCCGCCCCTTGAGCCGCGAGAGTCTGTTCGGTGCTCCCCGACTCGAAATTGCCGAAATAACACACCATTGGAAACATCAGCGAGAACTTCCATTCTCACAAGCCCTCTGCCGTCGCTTAAGCCTCCGTGGGAACCTCAGCCAGAGTCGCCCACTCCGAGACCACGGGCGCACGTCGTTAATGTCGATCACATTCTCGCGCTCGCATCAACCAAGCCCCCTCCGCGTGCCGCTAGCCACAATCATGCGGCTCGTAAGCAAGAGATATATCTCGAAGCGGAGAGCATGCGCGTGCAGCGTCGATACAACCAACCCATGACGCTTGAAGCTTGGGTCACTTACGCGCGCAAAATTGAGGCGGACGCCGCGGAAGACACGGTCCGTTTGAAGGCTGAGATTCGGAGTCGAGTCACCGCAAGCCGAAGGCGGCACGAGCAGGAGTACACCATACATGCGACGGTCCGCGGAGCGCATCAATGGGCGCACGTTGCACCATTGGCTAGCGGGCTCTCTCCCTGTGTCAAGTTCCTTCGTCTCACGAAGGAGTATCCGAAGTGGGTCGTCGGCCACGGCGTCACCAGACTGAGCATTAACGATACAAAAGCTCCTTGCCACGGTTGCGCTGGCATTGCAAAAGACAAGGAGCTGTGGGCCTGGCTTAAACTCCAACTCAAAAGTGGCCGTCTTGACCCCGACTTGGCCGCGACGACACAACATGACGCCGTCTACCTCGGAAAGTATCTGTCGCGACGCGCAAAGGAGAAGCACGTGTGCCCTGAGACGCCGCTCGACTGCATGCCAGAGGATGCGGTGACTTTGCTAGAACTCCGCATCTTCTACGGTCTGGGCGACACGTAAGATCTGCGTGCATTAACTCGCGCTAACATCAGACCAACGATTCCGTGCTTGTTTTGGTCGTGCCCAGCCGCCTATGATGCGGCAGCCGTGAAGTTGGTCCGAATACGGTCGCATGTCGATCTTCGCCACGGGCCGGTCGATCCGTTATTCTTGAAGTGCATCAATAATCGCACCAGCACCTTGCGCAAGGAGCTTTACGCGTTGGGCGCATTCGTAGGATGGCTTCCTCTGGACTATGGCAGTGAGCCAAACGACTCTGCTGCTCGACCCCACCACTCTAAGCAGTACCTCAGCAGCAAGCGCACACCGGAGCGCAAGCCAACTGGGCCAGACTGGCTTTCCTATCGGCAGACGTATAGCCTGTTGGGTCCCGACGCGTCATTCTGGTATGACCGTCTTGACCGCGGTATCGTAATGTTTAATGTAAGTCAACGATGCCGAGCGAACTTATATCAGGCGTGCTACAGCCCTGGCGATGCCCTCCACATGACACCTCTTACCACTACGCCCCTTCGAAACAAGCACATCGCTCGCGGTGTAGAGCATCTGGGGGCCGTATACAACCTCGTTTCGCTCTCTGGTCCCCGGTGGCGCACTTTTGAGGACGACCTGGCTGCTGTCATCTTCCCTCCTGAGTTCGCTGGCACCTCGGTGCCGGTTATAGCGGTCAGGAAGAGCGAGCCCAATCTCGCGCAGTCTTTGAGCAATGCGCTCTTCGAGCTCGCGGTGCGGGTTCAGGCCTGGTAGCCTCCATTCTCCTTCGATACCGTTACGCAGTGCTCGCTGCCCTCGGACCGGGGTAAAAGGGTTACCCGTTCCCGAGAGAGACGTTGTGCGGTATGGTCCGTCCCTGGGGAGTACGCATAGTAACGGGACATCGACCATTCAATGCAGCTGTGCTATCTCCGACAACGTTTTGACACATTGGATTCAGGAATCTTTCGGCTTACGGCCATCAATACCACACCTACTGGAAGAGACCGTCGACATCACAGCTCATGATTGCACTTAGGAGAAACCAAGGCGATATCTTCGAATACCCGCAAACCTGGATGTGACTTACGTAAGACACTAGCAACCATCTAGGGTCGCGTGGCGAAATGGCATCGCGTCTGACTACGATTACGCATCGTTCTCATCAGGAGATCGCGGGTTCGACCCCCGTCGTGACCTAGAAGCTCCAGCTCGAGCTGAGTAAGACTTTTGTCTTTGTGGACGACGAGTTTTGCAAGACAACAGTCTGACATGATGATCAGATCACAAACTGCTGCATCATTGGGCAATCCTGTTGGACGGTCTCAAAATATATCCTGCACTTGTTCGGGGCCCACTCCCCTATCCGACACTCCTGCTGAGCCTGTGAATGCCCAAGGGTCTCGACGACGTCCCGCTGGGCCGCCGTACTGCCTGTCGCCATGCACCGACGTCGAGGATAGCACTGCGTCCCTTCCCGACCGCTATCGGCGAGGTGGGAGAGAGCGCGAGGCCCATCCGCTTCTCCGACTTGGGCGACTTAGGCGACGCTGACACTGGTGGGGACGTTCCCCCGCTGCCCTCGCTGCCAGGACTCGTGGAGATGGGCACTGGGATACGGCGCGGCGGCGGACGGGGCGGCGGGGCCACACTTTGCTGCGTGTGGGTGGGGATCGGAATTGGGCTCGGGACATGGACCTGGCTCTGGCTCGGAGAGTTCGATTTCGGAGTCTGAGGCGCGGCGCGCGGGTTCTCAAACGGCCGCTCCGGTGTCGGAATTTTGGAGAGGGGGACTTTGGGCGCCATGCGCGGGTTCTCGTACCGGTCTGGCAGCGGGGACGTCGGGGATTTTGGCGTGACGGGGAGAGATCCGGACGAGTTGCTGGCGCTGTGCGAGGCAGAGAGGGGCGGATCCAGACACCAGAGCCAGTTTTCAAGGACGGCGCGACGAGCTTCGGCTTCGCCTGCGATGGCGCGGACGAGACCAAGGGCGCCCATGAGGCCCTCGGGGTCGGCGGCGTTGAGCGTCGCGAGCTCTGAGACGACCAGGTCGCCCTCGAGTACGCCGGCGTAGAGCGTCCACACGCTGCCGACGGCGACGAGGGCGTAGCAGCGCGACATGACGGCTGGAATCGGGGTGTGGCGCGGGTTGCGGCGCGCGGCGGCGTACAGCCGTGTTGTGAGGCGGGAGGCAACGCGCAGCGAGGCTAGAGCGCCGGCTTCGCCCTCAGCCTGCGAGCTTGTGGGCGGTAAGACATGGGTCAACAGCCAGGGGAAGTAGGCGCCGTCCCAGACCGTCGGGAGGACACCGCGTGCCGCAGTGTAGCTGCGGATGGCGGCGCGCGCTGCGATCATGTCCCCGTTGTCCACGGGGACGGGTACGGGAGTCGGGTACTGGTGCGGACTGAGGAACTCCACGCGCAGCCCCATTCCAAGCGACGGCGTGGGCGGGGTTATCTCTAGGCCGAGGGCGTGGAGGTGCGTCGGAGGCATGTCGTAGCTGAGGGTTAACTGGGTCCCAGGCACATAAAGCGTAAGTAGACTGACATAGTGCTGGCAGCGGTGGGCGGCGAGAGGACAGAGAACATCTGCGCCATATGCCACGGTAGACTTGAGCTCGAGCCGCCGTCAAGCGACCTCAGCACCGCCGAAGCATGGAGAACAAGAGCGAGATCCTTGCCGTTCGCTGCTCGGGGATATTGGTGCGCGGCGCACTCGGCGAGATACAACAGATCGGGGAGGTGGGAGCGGAGAACGGGACGGAAACGGAAGAGCTCGGGGGACGAGCACAGCTGGATCAGCGGCAGGCGGCGGACACCGGCCGTCGTGAGCGCCTCGAGGCGGGCGGCGAGGTCGGCGGGCGTGGGCGCCGCCTTGGAAGCGTACGGGGAGTGTGGCGAGGCTGCTGTGGCGGAGGATGCTGTGCGTGCGTGTGAGGCGGTTCGGGCGTGGCCGGAGGCCGCCGTCGCCGAGGTCGCTGTGGCACTGTAGCTGCGCCCGTGCTTGCGCGGCGCCGAGGCCGCCGTGTGGAAACTCGCGACGGTGTCGCTCGACTTCCTGGACATTATAGTGTGCGCAGGATGTCTGGTGTAAGCAGTGTGAGCGAGGAGTGCCCAACTCCCAGAATCTCCTGCTCTTTCTATCAGTAGTAGTAGTCTCCGTCTCGTCTCCAAGCGTGCGTTTGTAGAGCTGCCACGCTCGCTTGCCCCCCGACAACCAAAGCCGTCTCTCTAGGGATACGCGGGAGCGGAACTTACATCTGCTGTTCCTGGACCCGCAAAAGCTAATGTAGGCACTCTCCAGAGTAGCCTGGCCGTTCTTTGTGTCTTGTTTGGTGAGGAGAGCTGGATAAGAGGCGACGAGGAAAGAGGCCGGGATGGTGAGAGACCTTCACATGCATCGTGTCATGATATCGTCGGCCTGAACGATGGGCCGACCCCTCCGTTGCGACGGTTGTCAGACGGTGATTGCTTCTTCACGTGAGTGAGGTGAGGAGAATGTATGGATGACGACACAACAGCGGGACGATGGTGCCTAATTCTGGCGCAATATTACACGAAGCTCCGAATCCTTCGTGATCCACATACCACCAGCGGCGGCGGTATGCACTTCTCCAGGCTCTGAACTCAGGAAGCGGGATGCATACCAGCGGGAAGCTCAGGCAAACCCTCATGCGAGTATCACCTCTCAGAAGTACGTGAAGTACGTCTTCCTCCTTCATAAGGTGCAGCTTCAGTCCGCGCCCTTGATCGGCACCGACGCACCTTCAACTTGAAGGTTGTGCACGCCTTCGGCGCTCACTCGGCGCCCTCCTGAAGTGCAACAGTCCAGTTGTAAGGCTGGAACTTTGTTCCAAGTGCACGCGCGCGCTCTTTGTTTAAGCTCGGGTCGATCTTTCGCGGCCGCAGCCACTTGCGCGGTTCAAGGTTGAGGATGTTGCCGATAATTTCGGCGGCAAAATACCTAGCATCAGCAAACGTCGCCTATACCTCGCGCCCTGTCCCAGCCACTTGGACTCACGGAGGGAACCGTCCGCCGCCCTTGTCGCCCTCATCCACCATGCCCTCTGGGTCATCGGCCGAGCCCCCGGCATCATCGACACCTTCAATGACGTGCCCGTACCCCTTCTCTCCCTTGTAGTCCCACTGCACCATAAAGTAAGGCAAGTTGGGATGGAGCATGCGTCGGAATCCGCCGGGACGCGTCGAGAAGTCGATCAACTTTTTGTGCTGGCTCCACTCGGACTCGGATGCGAGGATGCTCTCGCGAAAGAAGGCGGGCGCATCGGCGAACAACTCGGCTTTCACCGGCACGCACTCGATGTACGAGTGCAATTGCTTGCGGAAAGAGCAGATGGTTTCGTAGAACAATACGCCCTTGTTCTCCGCCGCCCACATCCGCATGAGACATTTCATGAAGTTCTGAGGTAAGCTCAGTCACCAACTCCGACCCCTGTACTCACGCGGACCTCATCCCAATCGTCGTCGTCCATCTGCAGCGTGCTGAGCATGTGCTGGATAGGAACGATCAGGCAGTGGCCTGGCACGAGCTCTTCCGTGAGCGTGCAGCACATATACGTGCGCTTCCCCAGAGCAACAATGGCCGTCTCCGGATTTCTGTCCTCCTGAAAGCAAAAGGGACATTCGTCGAGTGCCTTCTTTGTACGCCGATAGTCGTTAATCGCAAACTGGCGCTTCATCGCGTCCGTCTTCATCTTGCGACGCGCAAGGCGTTCAGCGTTGTCGTCCATGTAATCGAGGTTGTTGTCGAAGCGTGCGTCCGTGGCAATGCGCGCCGCCATCTCGGCGTCCAGATTCTTCTGGTCGGCCGCTCCCCCGCCGAAGCGCTCCTGCCGCACCATCTCGCCAAGAGTGATGTCGTCGTCATCCGCATTGTACCGCAAAAGGTTGCCCTCGCGGTCACGAGTTTCGAACTGCTCTCAGCCATCAGTGCGCTCACTCAACATACCTTTGGCTCCTTCTTGCGACGCTTGCCGTGCGGTGCTTCGTCCTCCTTCCCTAGCCCGACATCGTAGAGCTTGCCCTGCCCATCGAGCGTCGGGAGCACCGCGATCTCGACAACGTTTCCCTTCTCGTCGGTGCGAAGTGCGCCGCCGCTCGGCCCGGCGGATGAACTAGCCTCATCATAGCGAGCCCGCTCGCGGTCATAATGCTCCTCCAGTGCCTCCGCGTCGGCATCGTCGGTTAGCTTGGCACGGAGCACTTTAGCTTGAAGACGATTGAGTTGCTCGATCGTCATGACTGGCCGTCCGTCATGCGAGGAACGCGGGACGTCCTCGCCAGACGGGCCTCGTGTCAACGCCTGCGGCGTAAATACCGAAGGAATGGGCGTAGCGCCGGCGGGCGTGCCGAACTGGCCCGTGGGCTTAGCCCCGCCGCCTTCTCGTCGCAATGCATCAACTCGTCCGCTTGGGGTGGAGTCCTGCTCCTCGCCTGGCCGCCGGAACCCTTGACGCGACGACGGCCGACTGTCATCGTTGAACAGGAAGCGGCGGGTAGGTGTGCCCCCACGCGCATCTGGAGTCCGCACCCCAGAGCTGCTGGAGTAGCCAGTGTCGCTCCCGCCACGGCGAGCCTTGCGCTTGGCCTCGCGCTCGTCAAGCACTCGCCGCTCCTCCACCGCCTCCCGGAACTCGTCCATCGATCCGTAGCGCTCAAGCGCAATCTCTTCGACGGGCTTGCCCTGCTCCGTTGCTTGCTCGTACAGGCGTTTGAGTTTCATCATGCGCCACTGGTAACCTGGACCGCCAGGCTGCACTGCCTTCTTTTCTGAACCCATCAGCCACCATCAGAACAGAACCCACCTTCGGTCTTGTACTCGTCGACACTCTTGCCTTCGAGCAGCTGCGTGTTGAGTTCGTACTTTGAGTGCTACTGTCAATTCGTCTCGTGATGCAGGGCGTACCATGGGTGGCTCAATCTTCTTCTCGTTGGGGTCCTTACGCATGTGTTCCGTCCCGAGGGCCGAGAAAAAGTCGCCGGCAGAGGCCAACGGTGCTTCACGTGCGACAGAAGAGGAAGCTACTTGGTCCTCTGGGCCTAGCATCCAGCTTTCACGTGTTGTCTCTGTTGCAAGCGATGGTGGGGAAGGTTCACCATGGGCTACCGCACTCGTCTTAAGAGGGAGTGAGTCGGCTGTCGGAATTGTGCCCACTGCACTCTTCCATTAGCGCTGCGTCACCAACATGAATACTCACCACCGTGTCCATGTCCTTCTCAACCCAATCACCACCGGCCTCATCATCATCCACGACGCGCACCCCGTCCTCGGCTCGCCGCCGCTCACGACGCTCTTCATGACGCGCCTCGCGTTCACGCTCGCGCTCGCGCTTCGCGCGCTTGCGTTCTCGCCTCTCCTTTTCGGTCTCCTCGCGCCTGTCGGAGCGATGGTCGCGGTCGCGCTTATCCCGACGCTCACGATCACGGTCGCGGTCGCGATCACTCCGGCTCTTGTACTCGTTGTCCCGATCGCGCTCGCGCTCGCGCCTGTCGCCCCTGCCGTCGTCTCTGTGCCGCCGTGGAGATCGTGATCGCGAACGGCCGTGATCGCCCATAGCCTTTCAAGCGATAGAATGTGCGTGTCGAAGTCAAGCGTCACCTCGAGCGACGATCGCTCATGCAGCTCAACATCTCAACGTCATGGCACGTGACTCGACCCTTCGTGGACAATACGTAAACCCTCGTGAGAATGCCACAACTTCATACCAGATCAAATGCCGCATATCGCCGTGGTTTCAAAATTGCCCGAACATTTTAATGCCGCATATGGATTGACGGATAGCAATTAGTTGAATAGGGAAGCATGGGGATTGATTCTAGCGTAGATTAGGAGGAGGAGTAATGACGTGCCTGGGGACCACACACACCCTTGGTGGGGCGGGGGGGCGGAAGTATAATTTGTTTGGTGGCCCAGGGAAGAGAGATGTCGCAGGTTGCCCCTTGTGCCGCTAGTCCTGGGGAGGGGCTCAAATAATGGTAGCACATGCACCCACCCAGAGAGATCGAAGACACCCCCCACCCAGCAGTGATTTGGCCACCCACGGGCCCTCAATCCTCCCCTCCCCCCTCACCGTCCAGCCTCCCCACCTTCCCTCACCCCTCACCCTCTTTGCGTGCTTCTCCCTGCCCAGCACCCCGCCCTCGCCATCACTCCCCTCGCCGTCTCCAATTCCTCCATCCTCCATCCTCCATCCTCCATCCTCCATCCCCTCATCCTCATCAACTCCTCTTCATCCCTCCTCCCCATCCCAATCAATTCCCACGTCATCCAAAGTTATCGCCTCCTCACCATTCACCCATCGCAAACATCACCAAGACAATCGCGTGTAATTGCCATCGGGCATTTCCTTCCGGCCTTGCTCCCTAGCCCTCCTCCCCTCCACGGGCCCACCCAACAACCTCCTCCTCCTCATCCTCCCACTTCACTTACCATTCAACACCCCGCTCCTTCCTCTTCACCTCCCTTTTTCTTCACCAGGTTCGTCGCTATCTCCCTACCCCCGTATACTCGACCGATCTCCTTCAGATCTTGCCTGGTACGGTCACCCGAGCCCGCGCCAGCGCACGCATCACAGCACTATTAGTTGCCATCCATTGCCACCGCCATTCAGTCACGCGATTCCACCCGCTCCTCGGGCGCGCGACTTGCTTGGCAGTTCCTCCACAGAGTCTCCGATGCGTACAGCAGCGCCGCGAGTGTGCTCAACGCTCATCGCGGGAGGAAACAGCTTTCGGCTAGAAGCGTCCCGACACCGCCGCACCGCACTTCTTTTGTTGCGAGCGAGTACGGACACTCTAGAACGCTAGAGTACCTCCGGCATATCACGGCACGTGCTGCGTAACGCCTGCGCGCAGTGTCCATGGTGATCCACGCGGACATGTTGGCGCCGTTTCATGCGAGCTCACTTGTCACTTCCTCACCCCTTCCTCCTCACCCCACCCACCCTTGCGCTGTCACGGACCCCATCTTGCTTCACCCCTTCCACGCGAGTCCCCGCTGACCCTATCAGCCGCCATGCAGACCATCAAATGCGTCGTTGTCGGTGACGGTGCCGTCGGCAAGTGAGTTCCCACCGGCCTATCCCTTCGTCTGTCCCAGAGCTGACATTTAGAACCTGTCTTCTCATCTCGTATACGACCAACAAGTTCCCATCAGAGTATGTTCCCACCGTCTTCGATAATTGTAAGAATTCAACAGTGTGAACAGAACTCACCGCGTAGACGCCGTGACGGTTATGATCGGAGAGGACCCGTACACTTTGGGTCTGTTCGACACGGCCGGACAGGAGGACTACGACCGTCTGCGACCCCTTTCCTACCCTCAAACCGACGTCTTCCTCGTGTGCTTCAGCGTGACCTCGCCCGCATCGTTTGAAAACGTCAAGGAGAAATGGTTCCCCGAGGTCCATCACCACTGCCCCGGCGTGCCCTGCCTCATTGTTGGAACCCAGGTCGATCTCCGCGACGACCAGGGACACCTCGACAAGCTCGCGCGGCAAAAGCAGCGTCCTATCACAACCGAGCAGGGCGAGCGCCTCGCCAAGGATCTCAACGCTGTCAAGTACGTTGAGTGCTCCGCTTTGACGCAGCGTGGCCTGAAGAACGTCTTCGATGAGGTGAGTTTACGAATGGCGCCCCGAGCGCGCCCAGCACCGCTTTTCGTAAGCTGACGCCCAGGCCATCGTTGCGGCTCTCGAACCACCGGCCATCAAGGTGAGTTGGGGGGCTTCCGTGTTGTCTAATACGGAAGGCTCCGAAGCGCAAGTGCCGTATTCTCTAACGCAAGAAGAAGAAGGGCAAATGCCTCGTGCTCTAAGCACCCCCTCCCGTCGGCGAGCGCGAACGCCATCACGCGTATCAAACTTCCGCAGTTTCCCTTCTTCCTCCCTACAGCATCTCTCGTTTCTCTACATGTCTCGGAGCGCGTGTGTGTCGTATACCACCCTTCCTATTCGCTTCCCCCTTTACTGGCGCGGGCATATGGGCACCAGCACCCGCGCGACCAAGTACCCCATGCGCGCAATTTCTGCGCCGCTTCTCTGGATTGTTTGTGATGCAAGCGTGAATGATAGCGAGAGAGGAGGGAGCGCATAGTGACGCAATCTGTGGGATTGTGCGAACGGAGCGGATAAGATCAACAGCGCGTGGCGTGGCGAGGCACGGGCTTGATCTCTCTAGATCTTGGTTTTGTCTGAGCTCGTTGCCAGACATGCCGATCTGGCCGAGATGGCGACGTGCTTCATCGACACGTCGTGATCGTCGTGAGATCGTGAGGAGCGATCAGCGAACTCACAGTGTGGGGCATGTGGAGGGGGTCATGCGTGCATGAAGAACCGGACGGGTGCAATCTCTGCCCGTTTCCTGGAGTGCCGCCGCTGGCAAGCGAGCTGTGACGTCTCTGGGACGTCAGTCGATCGCCGTTACATCTGTTGCCGTGCAACAGGCTCATGCCCGGGATAATTGCCTTTGCCGATGGTGCGCTGCCAAGATTCCAAGTGCGGCCTCGCTGGTCGTGCTGTGAGTTTCGCATGTAAGCTCGAGAGGTGACTCCAACTCTCTCCGTTGCTGAGACACCCGCACTATGGCCTGCGCGCAATCGCGCAGCAGGGTCACACTGTACAGATGCATGCCGATGCAGATGGATGTTATACTTCCGTTGTTTTCTGTCTATGCTCTCCGCTCCCCCCGTGTGTGCATCTACACGCTGCCACATCGCCAATTTGCTCCCTTTGACTTCTACTTTAGCGTCTCACCGTAGCGTACACACATCACTGGAATCCCGATTGCGCGTACATGCCCGTCTGCTGTCAGCTCGGTCATACATTCTGAGACTAGACTCACCCCGCCCTGCTGATAATAGCCTTGCTGCGGGAGGATGCCGAGGCCTCCCACGTTGGGCTGCGCCTCAAAGCCCTGCTGCATCGCCATGTTGTTGCCGACGCGCATAGGCATGTTTGAACCCACATACGGCAGGTCGATCGAAGGCGACGCGAACTGGTGTCAGCGAGATGCTTGATACTAGTAGGCTTACGGGGTTGAAGGGGTCACTGCCGGGGCTCATCATCTGGCTCACGGGACTCATGCGGCCACGGGCACCCTGTTGCGGCGTTCGCGGCGTACCGTTCGCCGTGGGGCTGCTACCGCCACGCAGCGCCTGACCCAACGACATATTCTGCGGCACGAGCAATGGCGTGAGACCACCGCCGAGGGGCTGCGGGAAACCAGGATTAGCCATCATTGGCTGTCCATACGGCACACCGAACGACTGCTGCCAGGGGATGTGCTGGGGCCGCGGGTACGTCGGGCCAGCGGGGACGGGGAGACCGGCCTCCTCAAGAAGACGCCGGTACGGTGGCGAGTTGGCAGCCTTGATGTTGGGCAAGACTCGGCGCACAGCGTTGAGCAGTCCAGGCTTGTCTTCGGCCGGAATGGAGTTGACGGCCAAAATCTTGGCAATAACCTGAGACCCGTTTGACGCATCGCAGAGAATCTCCGAGAGAATCATGTCGCCCGGCGAGTGGAAAATGGTAGACAGCAGAGTGTGCGCTGCAGCAGGCTCCGCGGTCTGGTTCACAATTCGCAGCACAGTCAACGAGGCAAGCTTGTGTGTGCACAGGTGCGCAACGTGAGGCGCAAAGCGGTTTGCAAGAAGACCATACCGGCCAGGCAGACCAGACTGCTCCACAAGCCACGTGAGAAGCAGCGCGCCGTTAGGGTTGGTGGCGAGAGGGATCGAATTGAGAATGATGCTTGTGGCGATGCGCTTCTTCTGATACAGCGGGGTGTGCGGAGACTCAAGGCAGGTGCGCATGCAGCGTGCACCAAAGCGATTCTGCGCAATGTCCCACATGCGGTCGATCATGGCGTCGAATACGTACTCGTTGTACGGTGCGCCGAACCGGAGCGTGCCCGCGCACACGTAATTGCCAAGGGAGTCACACATAAGAGGTGGCGCGAAAGGACGAATGTTGACGGTGATGAGCGACCTTTCCTCATCCGTGTTGGCACACTCGATGATCTTTTGCGCGGCCCAAGTACCGTTCTTGTGGATGCCAATGACGGCGAGGTGGGGCGCGATACGCTCGAGCATGGCCTTGCGCAGCTGAGGCGCAGCTCTCTCGAACAGCTTTTGGATGATTGTGTTGCCTATGTAGTCAGACGAAAGGTCGGCGCAGTCATCCATGAGCTCGTGCGTGATACTGTCGACTTCCTCCTGTGACGCATTGCCCGAGTCAAGGCGCTTACGCATGTCGCGAAGCTTGGCGACATCGAAACGGCGCATGTTCTGGCGGTCGCCGATGACTGGAATCGTGGTGTAGTAGGTGACAGGTGGGCGGACATCTGCGGCAGCGCGCACGTCCTTCTCCTCCTCGCGACGTCCGCCGCTGAGAACCTGCATGATCATCTGCTGCTCGCTGACAGCGCCATCCTGCGCAAGACCACGTTCGAGAACCTGCTCGTGAACACCGGCCTTCACGAGGTCGAGGACCAGCTGGGAGCGGTAATTCTCCACACCACCGCCCTCAGCCGACAGCTGCTGCTCAGTCGTGACCGCGGTGGCGCCGCGGACTGTCTGCAATCCCTCACCGAGTTTCTGCGGCGAGTTCGTTTCATCTTCGGGTCCACCGATGACTGGAGACTTGGTAGGCACGCGTGCAAAGCCAATGCGGATTGGGCCCACATCTGAGCCCAGGATATCGCGCCCGTTCAAGGCGTTGCGGGCCGAGATCGCTGAGTCCAGGCGCTCAAAGTTGACGAAGCCACACGACTTGTGTGTAAGCACGCGCGACGACTCAACGGGACCAAAGGGCGAGAAGATCTGTAGAAGCGTCGCAGAAGAAGTCGTGTTGGGGATGCTGCCAATCCACAGCGCACGCGTGGGCAGCGTGCTCTGGTCACCATTGTTGGCGCCATCGACGTTGAGAGGCGGCTGCTGGGTAATCGTGATGGAGCCATTGGTGAACACGAGACCCGGTGGGGGAGGAGCGACCGTCGACGTCGATGGACCGGTAGGAGCAGAGTCAATCTTGCCAAAGCCAATTCGCACAGGCGCCGTCTCGGACAGCTCGGAAACCTGTCCACCAAGCCTGTTGAGGACGTCGTCGCGCGCGCGGATAGCGTCGGCCTTGTCCATAAAATTGACAAAGGCACATGTCTTCTCTGGGAGCATGCGGAGACTCTCGATGGCACCGTAAGGCGCAAACACCTTGAGCAGCGACTCGCTCGTGGCATTCACGTCCAGGTTGCCGATCCAAAGCGAACGTGTCGGGACCTGAGGGGTGCTCGTCCCAGCATTGTCTGGGGTACCGGTGCGACTTGTCGTGGACGAAATTGACAGGCGACCACCATCACGACGGGCTTCACGGCTTCGAGTCAGGTCACGATCAGACCGTGAACGAGGAGGGTATCCGTAGCGATTGTCGAGATACATCGAGCTGTACTCGGCTTGCAAGGGCGACTGCGGAATGCTGGACAGGAAACCGCGGTTGCCTCGGGTGAGTGGGTTCTCAAGGGTGCCGATCGTCGTCGCCCTCGGACGGTTGGTCTCGCGCCCGCCACCGCCAGAGTTGGGGTGAAGAAGGGATGGCGAAGGGTAAAGGCTGCTGCCGATCTGCGCGGCGGGGAGCAGGCCATCGTATAGCGAGACCTGGTCGAGCGCCTGGGCGAGCATAGCGTCGGGAGTCTGGTCGTCAAACGTCTGCGTGACTGAGGCACGGAAGGGGCGGTTGACGTTAGACACGGTGCTGGCACGGATACGTGAAGCGGGGCCGTGGGCGTCTATCGCGCGGCGCTGCTGGTTGCGCAGATCAGACATGCTGGCGGGAGCAAGGTCAGCTGTGCCGTCGGCAAGCCCAAGGTAGTCGAGTGTGCTAAAGTTAAGGTCGTCGTTGTTCGCGCTGTCAGGCGAGTAGACCTCTTCACGGCCCTCGGGACGGCCAAGGGGAGAGCGACCTGCGGGGCCGGGATTGGCCAACCAGGCGTTGGAGAATGGAGATGACGCAAAGGCGTTGCTCACAGACGATGCCGAGCCAGAACGAGGTCGTACGTGCTCGTGCTCGAGCGCAGGTGCTGAACTATTTGCGTGGCGAAGCTGCGGCCTGGGATTGAAGGCTGGTGACAAGGCCGAGGTGCGCCTGGGTTGAGCTTCTGCCTCTGGCGGGTTATGGTCGTCGTGGTAGTCGTCGTCCACGCGAGCCTCTTGGAACGACGAAGGGAGCGTGCTGGAAAGAGAACGAGAGAGTGAGGAGCAGTGTAGAGTGGCGATGTCGAGAAGGGAGGATGAGAATGCGCAGTCGGGACAGGGCGTACGAGTATATGTGGGGAGTTGCGAGTGAAACGGAGATGAGTGTGGATCAGAGATTGAACGGGGTGCGAGCGGATCGAGCGGAGGGAGCAAGAGGGGCCAGAAGGGGGGGGGGGGGGGGGGGGGGGGGGGGGGAGGGAGGGAGAAGAGCGGCAGAGAGAGAGAGTGAGAGAGAGGAGTGAGGAGAGAAGAAGAGAGGGGGGGGGGGGGGGGATGAGATGGATCGGCACCGGGTGGAGGGAGGAAGGAGGCGTGAGCACTCGATTCTTTCGGCACCCAAAAGGCAACTCACCCAGCACGCGGACGGCCCTTCGGCATGTCGCCAAGTGGGGGCAAGGCCATCCCCGTCGCGTCTTGAATGAGCTCGCGCGCACTGCACGTCAGCATCTGTCGCACGGCACGTAGACCGTAGAGCATGCAACGCCCGTCTGAAAGCCTTCCACCTCGGGATAGCGGCTCATATGTCTCCAGGGAGTTACGACCTCGGCCCGCTTCTGCTGCTCGCCAGAGGCGAGCGAGAGGGCGTCTTGGCCGGCCACAGAAGCACCTGCTTGAACTTACCGCTTGCCATATGCGGCGCTGGGCGCCGGCGGAGGCGTCCGGCCGTCGAGGTCGCGGAGGTGCTGTTGGCCGCTCATGCGTGGGGTGTCGTAAGGCAAATGCTAATGTGGGAGTCGTCAAAGTGTGCAAAGCGGGGTATTGCAAAGCTCGAGGAGGAGGCGACGAGCGTGATTGGGCGGAAGAGATGCAAATCGAGTCCTTGAAGTGGAAGAGGGGATAGAGGAGAGGAGAAGAGAGAGAGTGGGAGTATGGGTGTTGAAGATGAAAGAGGAGGGTTGAACGGAGGACGAGGAAGGAGGGGTTGTCGTTGAGGGATTACGAGGAGTCGACTAACGCGTGATTATACCTGCGTGAATTGACCGGCCGAGCGGAGAGGGGGTTGATGGGAAGGGGAGGAGATGGGATTAGGGAGGGACGGAGTAGATGCGAGAGAACAAGAATGGGAGAGACTAGATGGAGAGAGAGAGTAGTAGTGGAGTTGAAAGAAGAGACGAGTTGCGAGTTGCATGGTCGCGGGATCAAGACACGCTTCACAGGATCATGGGCGGAAGACGTGGTCCTGGCCCAACTGGCCCACCAGGACGCTCGCTGCCCTTCTGCCACTCCGGAGCCAGCCTGATTATAAGGGCACTTCCACAGCTTCCGATATTCATTCTTCTACCTCCCTCAACAATTAACAATGCAGTTTGCTCACACTGACCGCGACAACCTACGCCCCTCTTCGACGACCCGATGCATGGACCGCAAACGCATGCATAACGCTTTTCGAGGTCGAGGCTGAGGGGAACACTAAAGCGAGACAAGGCGCTGCAGCGGGACGGGGTGGAATAGGGCTTGGGACAGGCACAAGAGGCGTGGAGACTCCACAGCTTGCTCCAGCTGTGCCAAGTCGGCCAAGCAGCCGGCCGTCGGACACCACGCACCTCGTCTTCAACCAGAAGAAGCGCAGACGTCACCAATCATACTTTGGTGGCTTGCGTCTTCCGTCTTCCACGACGTGTTCCAGTGACGTCGCGCTTCATCTGACGTCTCCGTCTCGACCCCAGAATCTGATCCTCTCGCGCGGCCTTTGGACTCTGGGAGCACGAGCGTCGAGTGCGCTTCAGTCAGACCACTACTACCTGTCTTGATGTCTTGAGAGGGAGGTCACACCGCCTCCGATTCAAAGGCCCTCACGCGTATGTATGTGCTTTCAGGCCGTGTTACCATGTGGTCTAATGGAACTATTCCGGCTAGTTCATTCCCTCCAATCCTGCAAGCTCACCGGACGGACTTTTCCCGAATGATTGGTATGCATATGAGCACTCTATGGAGGTGAGAGACCGTTGATATGGTAGGTGATGGTGGAGACAACGCACTCCTCGTGCGTAAAGACTAGCAAATACAACCTTCTCCGAACTGTTGAGAGGAGTGGAGGAATGGCGGTGGGGAGAGGGGGTATGACAGGCCGCAATGAATGCAGGGCGTAGAGAGAGGTATGGTGAGGCGGTTTAAAGAAGCGTCCGTGGAGGCGCCTAGTGTTGATGCACGACTCATATGCGTGACAGTTTAAAGAGCGAGCACGGTGTTGCCGCTTGGAATGCGGGTCATGGCAGCAGCGCCAAGGACAGGCGACCCTTCGACGGGAGTGCTCTGAAGCGAGCTCGAGAGAGAGCGAATTGCACTGTCGACGTGCTCGAGGTCCGCACGCGTCGGGGGAGATGCGCGCGAGTGGAGGGGTGTAGCGGTGCTGCTCGAAACCTCCGTCGCACTCGTGCTGCGACTGAGACCGGCGGTGGGGGTAAAAGCGCGAGGCGTAAGATCCGGCGCCGCGGCTGATCCAAAGTAGTCGAGCGAAGATGTCGAGTGAATTCGGCGAATGTCGGCTGTGTCCGAGGTCGTCGTCTCGGGCGTGGGCGTGGCAGAGGCGCCGCCCCAGCAGAACTGCTCGATAAAGGTCGAGTAAGATGAGCGCGACATATCCTCGTCCCCAGACTTCATCCATGGCAGAACATCAAGCGGGGATAGTGGAGAATCAGTCGACGACAACGGTGAGGGCGACGGCGATGGCGACTCCTGGGGCGGCTCAACGACGACCTTGGAGCGAGTGGAAGCCGGAGAATCCGCAGGGGTTGCCATGATACTGTTGACCGAAGATAGGGAGGACGTGGACGAAGAGTGTCCGCTGCCGAGGGCGGGAAGAGTGGTGCCCGGTCCGGCAAGAGGGGACACGACGCCGGTGAAGGGAAGAGGAGAGGCGGGCGAGGAGGGAGAGTCGCTAGAGGACAGCGGCGATCGAGGAAGACCTGCGAGAGGAGAGGATGGGCCGGTACCGAGGAGGAAAGCCGGACGCGGCGAGTAAAAGTCACCAGAGCCGTGACGCTCAGGCTGCAGCTCGCGACCGCGCATTGTCGGGGAGAGCTTGAGGCTCGACTTGAGAGCGGAGCCAAAGTCGTAGCGGTTGCCGAGGTCGGGGGGGAGCTCGACGGCGTCGGGCGTGGCGGGCCCAGATGAGCGCGGCTTGCGAGGCGACACGTGAGGGGAGCCGCCGCGCGCAGGGGACGAGAAGCGAGGCTTCGAGGAACGAGGAATGGGGGCGGTGAGGGCGGCATCCTCGGCGGTAAGACGGTTGAGTCTCGCGCGGAGGTCGGCCATTCCATCGGTCTGGGCGGAGGTGGTGCTCCAGGCGTTGGCATTGCGGCTCTTGGGCATATTCTTGGTACGCTTGGGTCCGTATCGAGGCGTCATCCGGGTCTTGCGCTCAAAGAGAACCTGGTAGTTCTCGCCGCCATTGGAATCCCAAAGTTCTCGGCCGTCCGTGTTGTAGCGCACGCAAAGGAAGAGAGTCTTCTCCTCAATCCGCTCGAGAATGTCACTAAGCTTGATGTTGAAGGTGAAGCGGTCAAAGGTGCCGCCGCGAATGCTGTCCTGATAGGACGCCGAGACCTCGGAAGTGGTTTGCCACCAGTCGAAGGTGAAGCGCACGGCAACCCACTTCTGGAAGGAGTAGTTACGAACCACAACAACACCGCGAAGTGCATCGCGGTTGTCGTTGAGGAAGAGGGACTCGAGATACATGTCCGACTCGAAGGGGTGCGATGTCGGGAAATTAGGTAGCTTGATCTCGAGGACCTTTTCAATCTCCCTCTCCTCCTCTGACTCTTGGTCCGAGTAGTCGGGCGATCCTTGGCGCGATACAACCTGTGGCTTCTGGTCCTGAAGGAAGAGCTTGACCCGCTCCAACTGGCTATCGAAATGGACATACTTGGGGCAGCTGGGTGTAGTTGGGCAGGATCTCGATTCCCACATGGCCCGCGCCTTGTCAGTGGTAGGCGTGGGCGTGCCGTTGGGGAGGAGAGGGCCAGATGGTTTGAGAGCAGAACGGACAACCTCGCCACTCTTCTTGCGGACAATGCGATGAGGGAGGATCGCGCCTGCGGACACGGGAGTGCTGTGCACGGGTTCGGGGACAATGCCCTTGAGATCGAGCTTGAGGCCGGTGTCGCGACGAGGTCTCGAGTGGATGATGGGCTCCTGGGGCTCCTTGGCCTCCTTCTTCTCCTTGGAGGCCTGGCTAGCATGACCAAGAGTGTAAAGGGAAGTGTCGCTTTTAGTGCGCTGGGGAGTGCTGCGACGAGGGATGGCACCCATGGTGTTGACTGACGACTCGGGGGATGTCACAGCGCTGCTGCCTTGTGTTGGGTGCTCAATCCCAGTGAACCCAAAGAGACGAGGACGACGGGACCGGCGGTGATTGTTGACAGTCATTGTAGGTTCGGCGGGAGTTCTGCGAGGAGAACGAACCTCGGGTAGGACGTTGGAGTGAATCGTGATGCCAAGAGAGGAAGTGGTGGGGACAGAAGACGAGGATCCGCGAGGAGAGGTATATGGGGAGGAGCGAGATGACGAAGCAGCCGAGTCGGGAACATAGGTCTTGGTAGTGTGTGCGACGGGAGGCGGAGTCTCTGGTGGGGGGAGATCGCGTGTGGGGGTGGGAGGATGCACGAGTATGGGAGCCGGGATGGAGACAGAGCGGACGGACGGCTTGCTGTTTTCTGCGGCTGCGGGCGCAGGAGGTGGAGCGACTGCGACAGTGGCAACGTCTGTCTCAGACTGCGCGCGGCGCAAGTCGAGGGCACCAGTGTCGACGCGCTTTGCTTCTGCCAAAGTTGGAGTGTCTATACGCTCAGTGTCTGCCGCCTCGGCGAGGCCCATGGCGCGAGCCGAGAATGTAGTGAACGCGTGCGAGGGCGAGTAAGGCATCCTATCGAGAACACTGGTGGCGTCGACACAGAGAACACGCGCGCCGCCGAGAACGGCAAGAATGCCCGGCGGGGTGAGGAGACGGAAGGCCTCTGAGGAGAAGCGGAGGTTGGGCGCGGACGGGGCACGGCGCAGTGGCCGGTGGGGGAGGGAGGGAGGGCGCAGGGAGGGGAGGGAAGAGGTGCGCCTGGGTGACCTGGAAGACTGCGAGGAGGAGAATTGAGAGTCTTGAGGTTGAGAGAGCTGTAGCTCGTCAAAGAGAGGGCTGGGTGGGGGCGTGGGGTATGCGCCTGCCAGTTTTGAGGAGGTGAAATCGGGGACCGGGGAAGCAGGGGCTGTATAAGGCATTGTGTCAGCCGCCCGCTCAGCGGGAGAGGGAGGTGGTGGTGGTGGTGGTGGTAAAGAGAGTGTGGGGGGAGGAGGAGGAGGA